TATTAATCCATCTATATAAAACCAATCAATAGAACAACTAGGAAGAAGTTACACAATATGGAACTAGGGAAGAAAAATCAGAGAGACTGGATATAAACCTCAAGCTACTCGTTGCTTCCAAGGAAGATTGTTTTGCAGCTAAATCCCTGCCCCACCCCAATCCAGACGTTCAAGACAGACTGAAGAAGGGGCTTCTCCAAGCCATGAAGCAGGATCCCTGAATTAGCCATGACAAGATGTGTGTGACAGAAACCGTATTAGAAGGCCATAAGCAAAGGGTTTCCCAATTTTCTGGAAGAGCATCAATTCCTTCTGGGGCCGTCTACCGTGCATATTGGCTGCAGAGCAAGAACAAGAGACCGTTATCCTGTTATGCTAAGGATGACAGAAAAAAACCTGGCTGGTCACCATGTGAGAATATCAACCAAGGGCATCTTCAGTCTGACCCGAATAACTGCGTTCCTTACAGAGCAAAGCACAAATGCCCAGCTTCCACTTCTTCTAGGCCTGCAATTCAATTCAAAGCAACCATAAAACTACAGTACCCAACATGACCAGCTAATGCAGATGTTTTGAGGAACTATTCACCCACTGGCTATGCCAGCTGTGGGTGATGGGAGTTGTCTCCCAAAATATCTGCCTCAAATGCCTACCGATCTACCTACAATTCTCCGAGATAACCGCTACAAGTAATGCCTTTCCCAACAGGCCTCTTTTCCATCCATGTGATCATCTGCAACAATTTGGGGCCAGTGAAAGCAGTCAGCCTAGAACAGCTTATGTATCTGGCACTTATAGGCATTGACGGCTTTCTGTACATCTCTCCTGCCATTTTTCAGTGGAGTTTATGTACTTTAATCTGGGGCCAACATTATAGGCATTCTCCAGTTAAGGCCAGGTTTTCTCAGATCTAGTCCAAATTAATTGCATACAACTGCAATTATACACAGTTGCTATAATCATCACTGTAAGATTTCTGATGGTTTCTGGTTGCAGAATTAAGGGGCAGAGTGGTCAAGATACAAGAAGACCACTAAGAAAACAGAATCAAAGGGTACTTTTTTTCCCCCTTTAACTTTTAAGGACCACAGTACATAGCCATCTCTGGAAGAATGAAACATAACGAAGCAACACTGTCAGTTCCTGACAACTGCCCCTCCCCTCCCCCCTACACAAAAACAAGCAAGAGTTCAGCTCACCTTTAATTCTCTCTTCCGGTTTCGGTCACTGTTGGATTTGGAGTGTCGAGAGCTTCGTCCTTCCTCAACGGCTTCAAAGAGCTTATCAACAAACCTCAAGGTGGAGTCATCCAGGAAGGGCTTGAGATGATCTGGGAGGGAGGGAGGAAGGGAGGCGGAGAAAACAGTATGGTAGCGCAAAACCCCTCCCCCTCAATCGATCTGCCACTATGGACCACAAACACCTTGTTTTCTGAAATTAACTACTCCTTTCCTCAGCATATTCCAATTGCCTGGAGGGAAAAATAAGGCAGCTGAGCTCTTTCACAGCCATCACGCTTTTCCCTCGGATGGGAAGGCTTCGGGAGGGAACTGGGAGGCCAGTGATTCAGCGGCCCAGCCCTTCGGCTCCATCCCCGGTCAGAGAGGTCAGCCCCAGAGCAGGAGGGCCTGACCGCCTCCCCAGGCTCCGTCCGGGATCTCGGGGGCCGGAGTCGGCCCAGCCCTCTCTACCCTCCCCCGGGGACCTACCGGCCGCTTTCTTCTTGTCCATCCCTTTCCCGACGCAGTTTAGCGCCGCGGTCACCACGGTGGGCTCGGAGAAGCCGAGGACCCGCTTCACGGTCTTCTCCACCCACGGCTTCAGCTCGTCCAGCTCCCGCTTCGAGAGCGCCATTTTGGCGGGAAGGCTCCGGCGAGGCGCTGGGGAGGGAAGAGGGGGTCGCGCGAGGCTGAGAACGGCCGGTGGAGGGGGGGAAGAGGAACACACACACTCGCCCCCCGCCCAGCCCCAGGAGGCGGGCCTCGCTCTTGCTCTTGCAAGGCCGCGGCTCCCGTCGCCAGCCGGACGCTCACCCAGGCTGGGATGGGCAGCGGCGGCACCTCTCCCAGTCCTGGCCTCGCAAGAAGCCGCCGCCGCCGCCTCCGAACAGTCAACAGGCCCTTCCCTCCCGCCCAGGGAACCGGGGACCGCGGCAGCTCCTCACCGGCGGCCGGGCGGCCTCCCTCCGCGCCTGGGAAGGAGAAGGCCGCGGGTCTCGCGGCGGACGGAGGCGGAACGTCGGCTGTGGCGGCGCGCAGAGCGGAAGCGGAAATGGGCCCGACCAGCAACTCCGCCTGCGCCGTCCTCTGACCTGGGGGCGGGACTTCCTGGAGGCCGCCGCCTGAGCCGCAACCGTGCTGACGGCCCGCGGCCAGTAGGGGCCGCTGCTGCTTGATCGCTGCTCTCGCCTTCCGCAGGCTTGCCGCCGGGGCAGGACGCGAGGGAGGGGAGGAGGGAGCGCGCGGTCCCAGCACGGGGGGGGGGAGGAGGAGGAGGTGGCCGGGAAAGGGTCCCCGCCTCGGATGCGGCTCACCCGAGCAAGGCGGATGCCCGAAGGGAGAGGCGTCCCCGGCCCACGCCAGCCCCCCGGATCGCGTTAAGGATGAGGACCGAATAGCAGCTCTCAAGAAGACGCGTGACATCGTATCGATTTTATTGACTTCACAACCTTTTCCAGAAATAAAACAGCGTCTCTTTAGGAAGCGGCCTCCGCCCTGAAAGCCTTTGGCTTAGCAACCAAGCCAAGGATCTGGGCGGTTTTTCCTCATGAGAAAGTTGATCTTTTTGCCCATTTCAGAGTTATAGATTCTCCGGCACGCTTCGTAGGCCTCCCGCCGCCTCTTCTGGCATGGCTTCTCGTAATACCGCTTCCGCTTGACGTGATCGATAATTCCATCCATAGTGAGGACTCTGAAGAAAAGAAGGAACCGTCTCTTTTAAAAGGCAGGAAGAGCTGATGAACGTGCACGTTTAAATCGGGCTTAATTCCCCCCCCCTCCAGCCTTCCTTCCTAAGGGTTTCCGAGACACACACCCACCCCCCGCACAATTATTTTTAACCCGTCAAGCGCAATAGGTAGCTGTATAAACCCCCGGGGGGAAGGGGGGACACCAGAGGGAGATCTCAACAGTGCCGGATCTCCTCTGAAGTCCCATCAAACGGGAAGGTCCGCCGTCAGCCTAACGCCCCATTCGGACGGAACCCCTGCTGCTTTCCACGCCGCACCGACCGCTCCAAAGCCTTGGCACGGGGGCTGAACAGTCGTGGTCGCCCTGAAGGGATCCGACTCCCGCCTCCACCCGGAGACTGCCCCAACCCCGCTGCAACCACCGGCTGACGCCTCGGGCCGAGAGGAAGACGCGCGGCCGGCTCGTCCGGGAGCCGCGGCTCCTGGTCGTCGGGGAACCGCGCGGCCCGAGCGCTTCCCCCGCTCTCCCGTCCCTTCTCCGCGCGGCGCCCGGAAGGGCAGAGGCGGCGGCGGCGCTCCTACCTGGTGAGGACGCGGTAGGCCAGCTCCACGTCCCCGCCCGGGACCATCACGGTCCGGGCGAGGAACTTGGCGTGGTGCGCCATCTCCACCCCGCGGATCGCCAGAGGGGCCGGACAACGATTTGGGCGGAAGCGCCCGGCCGGAGCACGGAAGGTCGCGCGGCCGGAAGCGGAAGCGCCCGCCGCAGAATGCCGCCGTGGCAACTGGTCCACCCCACCCCCAAGCCGAGCCGACCCGCAGAGCAAAAATTTCCCCAGGATAAAGGGAGACTCCAGAGATGGAATCCACATGTTATCAGATGTCAATCTTTCAGGATTTCACACAAGATCAAAGCCCAAATCAGGAGCATCTGCACCTCCTTGCTCACACCAAGGACCAGTTTCTCTCCCCCCCCCCCCATGAAACCATGCCTTCCCACCACATTTTCTCTGTAGTTACCCCTAAATGCAAATCGTTTTGCTCTTAGGAAATAAGAAAATGAATCTCCTTTCTCAGAGTTATGTCAGGAGTTCCATTTTTTGTTTATTCTTGCATCACCCCCTCTTAATTATAAAAGAGAATGTAAGTTGGGTCTCAGGATTTCCTCTGAATGAGAGGAATCCTTTTTAATTATAAATTGTAATTAAATTATCCTCCTGCCTTGGTGCCTTATTGAAGTGTGGGCATACCAGAGCCAGAGTTAGGCCATATTTGGCCAAGAAAATATAGTTTAGCATCAGATCACGAAGATAAATGCCTAAAGGATGGAAAAAAGAACCATGAACTTCATCAACAGCCATTGTGTCAGTGTCTTTATTGAAACTAAAATTTTCCACTCTGTCGGTAGGTACAGTTCTGCTTTCTCTTGGGACATATATTAAATGTTTTAAGTTAAAAAAATGTTTGTGAAGAAGGAGAAAAACGGTCTGCAAGTCAGGGAGACTTGTCTTCCGGGGCATCAGGAGCTGCGGTATTTCACAGGGTTTCCTACAGATGCTTCACTCCCCGCCAGCTCCTCCCCAGACATCGACAAGTGGGGCAGTGACAGAGAGAGGCCACCAAGAGTTCCTCTGGGGCCAGAGCTGCTTGCTGCCAGGACACCAGACAAGCTTTGACAGCGAGGTAGTTCCCCAGAGCCAGAGAACAGCATGTTAGGAGGGCAGCTGTGTGCAAGCATCTTGGAAGCAGCCTGAACAGGCATAACCTTTTGGAGAAAGAAAACCACTCCACAACTGCTTGCGTTTGGCCCCAGCAAGATCTGCCCAAGCGCAGAGTTCATCTGATTATTTTATTTATTTTATTTTATTTTTAAAATTTATAAGCCGCCCCACTCCCGAAGGACTCTGGGCAGCTAACAATAAAAAACACATAAAACATAACAAAACAAACAATGCAAAGACAGTCATCCAGGGGTCAGGTTTTATAAACCCCAGGCCTGCCGGAAAAGCCAGGTCTTAAGTAGCTTACGGAAGACCAACAGGGTGGGAGCAGTCCTAATCTCCGGGGAGAGCTGGTTCCAAAGCGTGGGCGCCATCACAGAGAAGGCCCTCCTCTGCGGCCCCGCCAAATGGCACTGCTTGGCCGACGGGGCCTGAAGGAGACCCAGCCTGTGGGATCTAACCGGACGTAGGGAACTATGAGGTAGTAGGCGGTCTCTTAAAGTCTACTTGTCCCAGGAGAGGGTTCAAAATGGGCAACGTGTGAATCCAGGTCAGGTTCATAGCAGGCCCATTGCCCATGGGCACCGGCTGTCCCTGCCGAATCCCAATATCGTGTTCTTGTAAGGAAGAGAGGTCCGAGGACAGGCTCAGCACGTCATCTTGGATGGGTGTGCTTCTGCTTCCCATGATCTGGTCTTCTACACAGCGGGACTGAGAGAGATGGTGGGGAAATCAAGCCGAGTGCAAGCACCCCCAAAACCCCCTTTAACAGGGCAGCAATAACATTTAGACTTACTCCCTGTACAGAAAGGAGAGCATATCCCAGACAAAGCTGGCCCATGCCCTACAGCTCCACAGGTGAAGGGTATGTTTACATACGTACAATAATTTCAATGGGTTATGTACCGAATCCAGCCAAGTCAGGAAGAACGAAGCGATCTTGGCACTCACCTGAGCTGCCCCACATGCCTCCTTGGCTGACACACCGTAGCTGGCCTGGGAGTCCTTTAAGGGAATCTGAGGAAACCAGATCTTGAGCATCTTTTCCACCTGCAATAGGGTGCCCAGGTATCGCTCCCTGCAAGCCAAAGGGAAGCCAGACAAATACACACATAAGTAATGGAGCCAGCAGGTTCTTCCACACCTACAAAACACAGAAGCAAAGCTACCACACTGCTTTTAAAAAGACTCTTTCCTTGCAGAATGTAGTCCAGAGGGGCCCCCATCAAAAGTGTATTGTGACAAGGCAAGCCCCAGAACTGCAAGAGCGCAGCAGGAGCTCAGTAGTGACAAGAAAGCAGTTAAGGCATCTGGCCACGTGAAGGGGCTTGAGCAGCACTCGTTAGCAAATGACCCTTACCCCATCTGAGGTTTCTGAAGGACACCAACAATCCGCTGGATCCGATCCATGGCCACGCTCTGCTGGAAACTGCTTAAACCTGCAAGGCCAAAACACGAAGCTCAGTAAATGTGGTTGGTGCAACTATGACTGAATGGATTAAAATGACTGAGCTCACCCCAACAGCTTTTGGGGTAACCACAAAGCACAGTAGCAAACCATCAATGCTTTTCCCCACTACCTGCTACCTAGAATCAGACTGCACAGGTGGAAGGATGAGGTACAGCCAATAATCTTATCAATTCTCTATGACTTGTCCACATTGTTAACTCCAAACACCCACCCCCCCCCGGTCTGTGGAAGGGACTGTAAATCGGTTGCCTGAAGGAGAAGTGTCTGATCTCCAAGACAACCTGTTGGGCTGTGTAAGAACTCAATGCTTCAGAGGCTTAAAAGGGCCTTTTAAAGGGCCATCTGTAAGGGGAATATCGGAGTCAAAGTGGCCAGATCACACATCTTCATGGCTGCCTCCAACAGGGCTCTCCTTCCAGGACAACACTTGCAACTTTCCAAACCCCCCAGTTGCCAGGGCTTCCAGCCCACGCAGGGGCGTCTGCTGCTCCTAACCTCGGTCAAAGCAGCCCATTTTCAAGCGATTCAGAAGTTCCGACAGGGGGCGGACAAAGCCTTGGAGTTCCCAGCACTGTAAAAATGGAGCACAAAAGAGTGTGAAGTGTGAAAAGCTGCACAACCAAATTTGAAAACAGTTCTCTGAGGAAGAAGGAAAAGATCAGGGAATGATCTATTGATGTTTATTCCTGGGTCTTTTGCATGCTTTCTTATAAAACACAGATCCAGCCACTGTCTCTGTCAACGGGGGCAGTCTGGCCTGTCTGTGGGAGAAGACTTGGGAACCAATGAAATTCCTCCTGCTTGAACTCTACTAGCAGAGCCCCCCACTCCAAAATGCCCTTTCCAAGCCATCTCCAAGATCTCGAGGAGGACTGACCAAACGATGCCTCCTTATGAAAAGCAACCTAGTCAGCTGTGGGGCCTCTACCATTCTGCCAAGTGAAAATGATCCTTTCCAGTGTGGTCACAACTGCTCACCAAATCCCCAGTGGATTCTTGGGCACTGGATCTCTTCCCTTTCAATCGTACAAGGAGCAATGGGACCACCATCAGAACCACCAGGGGTTTCTGGGTGGGGCTCCTCTCATGGAGAGAAATCCCTAGCTGCCCATCCTCCCTCCGGGGCTGATCAATGGACTCACCTTTTGGGCAAAGGCTTGGTCCCCTTCCGTCCAACAGAGAGAGTGCTGGGTCTCTTCCGCTGCCGCTTCCTTCCTCCGCTGCCTCTTTATCCCAGGTGACGACACAGATGCCACGGGGCATGGAGGGGGCCAGTTGCCTCCTGTGGTGCTGCTTTGAAGCTTGCCGCTGCCCTCGGCCCTCTTTCGGTTCACCCTCTGTCCAGGCAGGCTTCCATTTGGACTGACCCGGCGGCTACAGAGCGTCTCCCCAGGACCCTCTGAGCCAGGATGATGCAATCCAAGGGGCCGCCTCACCCAGCGCTTGGGGCCCTGGTCAGGCAGGCCCGGCAGGAGGAGGAATCCTGGGCCATTGAGGCAACCGTGTCTCCTCGGCAGCCTCACCTCCTTCCCATTGTTGAGAAGGAAGATTCTGAAGTTCCCCTTTGGTGACAGGAGCTGCTCTTCCTCACCCTCCTCCTCCTCCTCCTCGCTGGTGGCACTTTCCACTGAATAGAAAGACTCCCAGGAAGAGATGCTTCTGGTGTCCGTGTCATCCATGGATTATCTCGATTGCTAAAAGACAGGGAGGGGGTGTCCATCAGCGTTTAGCTATTTCCACAAACGTTCCTACCTCCCCCATTCTGGGACTGAGAGGCCCCCTCCTCTTCCTTTAAGCAGTAGCATCACTCAAGGCTACAAGGGACAAAAGCCACCACCTGACTGGGCCAATGTCCCCAGGCACAAGGAAAAGAATCACCGGAAGGGACCAGCTTCTGCCAATTGGGTGAGCACCACAAACCATCCAAGCAGCTCCCAAGCCTGGCCACTTCCAGGCCTTACCAGGTGCTACATGCCACCAGGCAGCAGCCAGTGTTCTGCACCCTCCTGGGGGAATGCATTATCCTTTCTCAAGAAAAGGATTTGCATTTCCATTCGGGGGGGGGGGGGAGAGAGCACAGAGGAAACAGGGTGGACTTATTGGAAATGCTCCAAGTGCCACCCGTCGCCCACCCTTCAACACCGCCCCCCCCCCCACCCAGGAGAGCGCCAAACGCCCAGAGTCACCCCGTGCGTTTCTGGGGTGAGGCGCGCTGGAACCCAAACCCCGACCCCCCCCCCACGTGGTGAGGACGCTGCCTGTCGGTCCTGGGCTGCTGGCTCGACGGCCCCAAAAGGCGGGAGCAGGGAAAGCCTTGAACACGTCTGTTCCAGCGGCTGTCCGCGAAACCCGCGGAAGGCGCGAAGCCAGCAAAACCTCGAAGTCAGGGCGAGGCCACCGAAGCCCCAACCGCGACCTCACCCGAAAGGACTCGGAAGCCGCCTCTGCGCAGTTCGGGAGAGTCTCTCGCCAGTAACTTCACCTCCGTCCCCGGCTGAGCAGGGCTCTCTGGGCCGCCGTTCCATGCTCCCCCGACCCCCCGATCTCACAATAGCGGCGAGCTCCAGAGCCTCCTTCGAGAAGTTCTCTCGCTTCGTTCAAAACGCACCGCTTGGGAACCGAGATCGCCCGGCCCCGGGCTCCAGAAGGGAAACGAGCCGAACCCGAGATTTACTTCCTGGCCACTCTGTCCGCACAGCCCGGGAGGACCCCGCCCTCCCCCAGCCTGCGAATGCGCCCGCCCGACACTCTCGCCCGAGCCCTCTCGCCGGTGCCGCTCCTGGCCCGGAATAAGGAAATAGCGCCGCCCGCCACGAGCGCCGATCGCTCCGGAAGGTCCCGGGCCGCCCGGCGAGGCGGCCAAGCCGCGCCCGTCACCTTCCAGTCGGGAAGCGATTCGGCAGACGCGGAAGCTGCCACCGGACAACCCGGCGGCCGGTCCTCCCTGGCCCAGCGCCCTTCGGTCGAGGCGGCCCGCGCGCTCTGCACATGACCCGAAGCGGGGACGCCCTTGCCCGGGCCTCCTCTGTCTCCCTCCCCGAAGCCCTGCTTGAAAAACGCGAGCGGCGGAAAAGACCTGCGTTCGCGCCACGGCTACCCACCGGCTGCTCCGGGCGGCTCCGACGAAATGCCGGCCGCAGGGAAGCCGAGCCCAGCTCAGGGCCCGGACCACGCGGCCACGTGCGCAGCCGCACGTGCCCGCAGGCCCCGCCCCTCCTGACCCGCCCCGAAGGCGCCGCTGCCCCGGCTAGCCATTGGCTCGGCGCCGTCCAGCGGTGGGCGGCGCGCGCACCCATTGGCTGGCGGCCCGAGCCAGGCGCAGGCGGCGGCACGCGGGTCGCACGGAGCAGCGGTGAGCGGCCCGCCCAGTGTCTCTCCGGGCGCGTCCCCGCGCACGTGGCAGCGGCGTGCTGAGCGGCCTCCGAGGTGCTCTGGTTTTGCGTGACTGCGGCTACCGGATCCGCCGGCTCGTCGCGCACCCCGGCCTGCTCCACCTCGCTGCCCGGTCTGCGGGAGAGAAGGCGGTTCAGAACCGTGCCGCTACCAGCGCGGATGGCTGAAGAGGGACGAAAGAGGCAGCGAAGGCGGCGCGATTGAACGGACGGCGGGGCAGCTCGCAAACTGGCCCACCGCCTCTTAGGACGAGGCTCTCGCCTCCGGCTGGGGAGGAACTGTCCCGCCGACGGAACCCCCACCCCCGCCAAGCGGCTCCCATCGGTACAGGAAGCCCGCCGGCGACTCTCCTGATCGTGCGCACTTGATAACGAAGGAGCGGAAGCGAATCGCCTCCGGTCCCCGGAAGCCCGTCTCGCCTGTTATGTAACCCTGACTCGGCTCTTGGTGTTGGTTCGTCTTCGGGGACGCGCAGTCCCGAATCTGCCAGAACATCCCGTGATCGTCACAAGCGTTAATCGGGATTATACGAATTAGTAGAAGTGAAATGCAACGTCGTGAATTTAACGCGCCTCCATGGGGGGGGGGCACAGCGAGAGAGAACCCGAGTTCTTCCTAAAGCGCCAGGGACGCCCCAGCCGCCTCTTACAAAGACAACACAGCTTGCTTGAAACACCCATAAAACACCACGTTCGTCTCCTTCCAGTTAACTCAAAAACATCGAATGCTGGCGAACTGTTCAAGTCTGTGCTGTGTTTTTATGTCACTGAGAATTAGATTCACCCATCAAGCTTAACCAAGAGCAAAAGAACTGGTGACTAAATGAAAGCCAGTTGAGACCCTTCCTTTAACCTTGACTGGCATAGCTTGGGTTCCACAGCATACACAAGTGTCACACTGGGGGTGTGGTTTGAACAAGACACAGGAACCAACCCTCTCCTTTTACTTGAGAAATAAATGTTCGTGTCCCCTTTCTCCCTTCTGCCCCTTCACAAAAGGCAGAGGATTGGCTGTCACTCTCCATGCCCCCAGGCAAGGGAAGCCCTGCTTTGGGCATGATTGGGGAAGGGCTCCCTTGCCATGTTCTGCACCCCCACCCCCAGACTGCACAATCAGGCAAACACTGGCCAGGGAACTGGGTCGCCATGACCTGCTTTCTTCCCGGGTGGCAAAAAACCAGCGCAGAAGAGAGCTGGTAGGGTCCAGCCCAAACTGGAGGGAGGGAAGGAGTTCTGGGTTTGCCTGCCTGCCTGCTTCCCTCCAGGTATGGACCCTAATGGGGTAGAACCAGAATTCCATCAAGGGAGGTTCGCTGCTTGTCTTTTTGCCAATCTTCTATCAGCAAGATAATAAAAGGTCATTGGCTGTAAGGACCTTTGGCCCCCACTGCTGTGGCTGCACCAATTGGTTGCCTTTCCAGACAGCAACAGCCCTTGTGGTTCTCCCCAGTTAAGCAACAAAGCCTATTCCATGGAGGGGTGGGTGGGTGTGCTTAACCCTTTTTCTGCCAGTCACGCTCTTTTCTTTTATCCTTCACCATTTATTATGGATTTAGCAATGGCTAAACTTCCTATATCAGAAAAACAAATCCACAGAACCTAAAGTCAGCTATTAACTACCACAGTGCCACTAAGCAAATTCAGCTAATGTGCACCATCCCAACACCTTCCAAGCAGTCAGGGATGAGGAAGGGGGGACACAAAGGTGCAGTCCAGCAGGTCGTGAAGCACCAGACTGGAAATGACTCTTACTCAAAACATTTTGTACCCAAGTCCTTTACAACATTCTGTACCCAGCAACAAGCTACAACTCTGCTGCAATGAGGGGGAGACTCCTTAGAGCAGCAAGAAAGACCTCAAGAGTTCCCCCCCATCCAGGCCTCCCCAGGACCAGGCACGGGCCTCTGTGATGCCACAACCAAGCCATGATGCTCAGTATGTCCACACCATTTTCCTTCTGCAAGATGAAATTAGAAAGCTGCGACAGCTGAAATGTTGTGTCCCCAAAGGTGGAAGCTCAGCAGGCCACTATTCTGCCACTGTTCCTGCCTTGGAGCCAGGCCCCAGCCCCCATTAGAGGAGCTGCAGCGGCCAAAGCTGTGCCTCCTCTGGATCAGCCCCCTGAGCCCCTCTCCCCGTGCCTGCCTGAAAATTCAGATGAAAAGAACCGGCCTGTTGCGCAGGGACTTGGCTGGCACAGGCCTGAAGGGGAGCTAAGCACTTCCAGCTCCCCCCCCCACCCTGTCCAAACACGTTTTGGACTCTACAGGCCGCTGGACGGGTGATTTAAGGAGCAGAGTCCTCAGCCGCCGGCCGGCTGCCTGGCTTGCCCAGAGCCACCTTAAATGGCCTTGGCCGCCTTCTGGTTGGTGTCCAATGGGGACCTCCTGACTCCCCTGGAAAGAGGCAAGCAGTGGGGTGCAGATGTGGGAGTGGAAGATCCCATCTTTGGCCAAACAGAGACTCCTCTTGGCTCAGGACCCGTCCATTTCTTTGGAATTTGTCTCCCATTTCACCTGCTCTTTTCTGACATTCCAAGATGTTGCTAGTTCTCACCCTCTGGCAAGCTCTTTCCCAAGCCCTGGCTGCAAGTGGGGGTAAGTAGCGTTTATTCTTTTTCCTCACAGCCCTTTGTTTCCTCACAGGGCCCTCTGCCTTTCTCCAGGGGGACCCACTGCAATTAGGCAGCTGGGGGGGAGGGCTTTCTCTGGCAGCTTGAATGGACACAACAATGCAACTACCCCTGGTAACCACTCTGAGCTGCTCAAGCACTTTAATTTTTTTAAAAAGACGCTTATTTGTTTCTCTGAAAGCAAGTGAGTCCATTCTGAGAGTAATCATTTGGATGGAGCACTGGTGAAGTTTACAAACAACTCAGCTCTTTCTGCTCTTTGGGGGGAGAAAGGCTCGGTTAGGACTCCCAGAAGTTGCAGTGACTACAGGCGTTCACAATGGCTGCTAGAATTATCTATCAGCCTTTCACTTGTAAGACAGAAAGAAGCTGAAAATACTCTGATAAAATGGGAGAGTAACAATCTCTGAAAAATATTTACAAATAAGCTGCCTGAGAGCAGGCACAGAAACAGTAACGTTATTTTGGAAAGAAAGTTTCAAAGAGCTCAAGAGAAGGGGAACGAGTGAAGAAAACAGTAATAAGAAAGGAATAAAATTACAGAATATAATCATTTGCAACAGAGAAGAATTAGCAGCAGTCTGTCCTGGGAGCTTTGAAAGCTAATGCAGAGGAGCTTTTTCCAAAAGGCAACTGGACTTTTTAGAACTGAAGAAGCTTCTTGGATAAGAAGTGAAACATTTTCAAGGGAAAAAAAAAAAAAACAAGAAAGTCCAGCTGACTTTTGGAAAAAGCAGCTTTGGGACAACCTGGGTGACTGAGAATCTCCATAGTCATTTGAAGGCTACCATATTTCTGCCAAAGGTTTTTGGGTGCAGAGTGGTCTTCATCCGCTCCATCAATCGTCCTCAACTCTCTTTCGCTCTACGGCATAATCTGTTTTCCATGGCTCATGGACTCAGCCACTGCAGTCTAGGCTGGAACTCCCACGCCGTCTCTGAGGCCGCAAACGTAAGCCCTTATGGCAGGCCCCGCCGGGTGGAGTTCAAGGGGAGTGGACGGCAAGGAAATGGCAGCCTGGCACCTGCCTCTGCCCCCGGGAAGGAGGAAAGAACACAGGATAAGGACCCCTTGGCAGAGGGGCAAAAAGCCACGGTCTCCAGTTGGGTCTAAATGGGGGTGTCAAGACCCAAACAGAGAGGCCGCCGGGTGCTGGGCTAGACCCTTGAGAGACAAGGAGAGAACCTGGGGGATCTCAGCTCTGGGACTCCTCTCAGATCTTAAGCGACAACTGGCTCCCGAGCTCTGGGGAGGAGGCCAAGCACACATCTTCATGCCACCAGCCAGAATAAAATTAGCAGCAGCTCACGAGCCTTCAGGAGGTGACATGTCAGCTCACGGCCAGCTGCCCTTTTTTGGGATGGAAGAATACAGCCTCTTTTCTCTAGTGTATCAACTCAGGTTTCATCCTTTCAAAAGAGAGAAAGAGGCTGTCAGAGGTAAATAAAACACAGCCCCTTATTTCAAAGGCCTGATCGGAGACTGGCCTTGCAGTCTCCGCTGGCAGTGCTCCTTTAGAGCCCTGGAGATTAGCTGACCTTTATCCAAAGCTCCTTTCTGAAATAAAGTGCAGAATTCCAGCAGAGGGGAGAATGCAGATCAGAATACCGTGCGTTGGCCAGGGACGGATGGAGACAGTGGGGCCCGTAAGCTAGAAGGGAACAATTGCTCTCACATCTCTGACTGGGGCAAGGTCACCTCGCAGTCTGTTATGGAAACGAGTGTGGGATCCAGAGGGGCTCTTCTCCCCTTGTGAGGGATCCAGCCCTGTCTTGTAGTTCACAGGTGGGTTTCTTTGCCATGGGCTCCTTCTGCCAGGCAGAAATGCCCCACATCTGGAGCTGTCAGCCAAGAATCTCTTCCTCTCCCCTTCTGCTACAGGTTCCCATTGGACATACGAAGGTAAGGAGAAACAGCTACAAGAAATGTCTTGCTCTGCTCATCGGAATTGCAAATGCAGCTGCAAAGTCGGGAGGAGATGTCCAAATGTGCCTCTTCGCTGACAAAGGCTCCCACAGTCCTTCCGGTGCTTCAGAAAGGCCCTTGGGGAGGGGTCTCCAGTTGGAAAGAAAGGCTTTGGAACAGGCACTTCCAGAACAGGGGGCAAAACATTTTGTGAGAGGAGGGGGCCCTTTCTGCTCCCCAGATCCATAGGCTTTTTCTCTTTTTCCAGGCTCCGACGGGCAGACACACTGGCCAGAGAGATATCCAGACTGTGGCTGGCAGGCTCAGTCACCCCTCGATATCCAGACTGACTTGGTCCAGTATGACCCCTCTCTGCCCCCCATTGAGCCAGAGGGGTACCGAGACCCTGGGAGCAGCTCCTTGACCCTGAGCAATAATGGACACACAGGTGAGAATGTTCATAGAATCTGTTGTTTATCATAAAAAGGTCTGCTTGAGAAGACAATGCTTCTTCTGTCTTGCCCACCCTGAGGACTAGTAACTCTAGAAAGAGCACCATACCATAGATCTGCTTTGTGACAGTGTTCCTCCTCCTCACTGGCTGCAACCTGAGGCTACTTGCTCTCTGCCTCCACAGTGCAACTCTCCCTCCCCAAGAAGCTGCGCCTGCACGGCCTGCCCAGCATCTACTCAGCAGTGCAGCTGCACTTCCACTGGGGCAGCAGCAACAGCCGGGCCGGGGGCTCTGAGCATCGCGTGGACGGCCAGGCCTTCCCAGCAGAGGTAAGCCAGCTACGGGGCAGCACTAGCGCACAGGCAGCCCCGGACGGGCCCCTTGCTGGGGCAGAAATGGTGGCTGAATTGGCCCAAGGGTCCAACTCCTTTGACTGAGGTTGAGAACAGAGCTGCAAGGAAAGCCCAGCTCTACCGGAGTTATCTGGGGATTGCAACACCCAGAATCCTCATCAAGGCTGGCTGGGAATTCTGGGCATTGCAGATTTTCCCATCCGGAAAGCCCAGTTTAAGCAGCCCTCCCCTATACCCAAGCCAGGAGCCACTTATCTGTGCCCATCTTGCATGGGCTGGTCCAGACCTTTCCAGTATCCATGGGCCCCAAATGCCGTGGGACTCTGGCCCCGTGGGTCCTGCTGAGACTTACTCCCGGTCACATCATCCGTGAAACTCAGCTCTCAGTTGCGTCCCCTCCTTCATCACTGGCGTGTTGTCATTTCTCTTTTCTCTAAGGAATGGAACAGCTCTCTCCTCAGGGATTAATAAGGAAGGCTGTTTCTCATACTGCCCGCAAGAAGAAATCCCAACTCCACCACATTTCCATAAAGTCACGAAACTCTTCCTCCCTCCCTTCCTTTAACTCTTTGTCCTCACCCTCAGCTTCATGTGGTCCACTTCAACTCAGAGAAGTATGCCAACCTGAGCGTGGCCAAACACCAACCGGATGGGCTGGCGGTGCTGGGCATTTTCCTGGAGGTGAGCTTCTGCTGGGTGAAAATTGTGCCAGGGTCATTGTCCAGAACAGTCAAGCATTTCCTTGGATCCCTCCCTGCTCCCTTACGCCAGACGTGTGGTGCTGCCACAGAGCCTCCTTTCCTGAATAATAACTGCCTCCCTAGTAAAGCTTCAGTGACACCATTCATTTAGTCGTCTTCTCCGATCCCTTGATCCTAATTTCTTTTCTCTCTCTTCTGTATTAAAACTTCTCCTCTGCTCCACATGAAGCAAATTATTCATCCGCAGGCACTGTGCATTTGGGGGGGGGGGAGGCGAAGAAAGAGCCAGCACTGATCAACAGAGAGAAGTCATTTCTTCATTGCATCTGGCAGGTTGACAGTGTGGAGAATCCTGCCTACAACCACATCTTGGACCGTCTGGACAGCATCCTTTATGCAGGTAGATGGTCCGTTGGGATAGGGAGGGGCTGCAGGGGCTGGTGGGGGGGGAGGAGACCAAAAGCAAAAGAGAGAGAGTGGAACTGCCAGCAGAGTCCCTGAAATCCAAGCCTCAGTGAGTAATTTGGGCTCCTGAGAAGGATCAAAACACGTCACTTTCCCCAGACGCTTTGCAGTTTGCTTCTTACAACACACATCCATTTTACAGTAACTTGGAAAACAAAATATTCAGGATCATTAATTTCTTGGGGAAAAAGTGCTGGAAAAGAGATTTTATATTCCCAGTGGTTCTCAGTAGTGAGATTCTTCTGCTAGTCCAGCATCTCAGAAGCAAGCACTTTAAAGCCCATCCGCCAGGGAGCTGCTCTGGAGAAGGGCCACTGTGCCCCCTGCCTGTTCTTTGGAGCTGGAGGGCCAGACTGGACAGTCCTCCAGCCTTAGACAGCCTCAGGGGTGCAACAGAAAGGCTCCCAAAAGCCAGCCCTGGACTCACTCTCCCCCCCTCCCTGCACCTCATTCCGCTTCTCTCTTTCTGGTTTCCCACCTCCTAAACTCACCAGAGCAAGAAGTCACCGTTGCTCCCTTCAGTGTGCGAGAGCTGCTCCCGGTGCATCTGGGCCACTACTACCGCTACAGTGGTTCACTGACAACCCCGCCTTGCTATCAGAGTGTGCTGTGGACAGTTTTCCACCAGCCAGCCCGCATCTCTGCCGCTCAGGTAGAGCCTGAAAGATGAAGCTCATTTTTTAAGTTTAGGCAAAGGGCCTGCATGTTGGGGGGGGGCAGTGGCAACAGAACAGCTGTTGGAGAATGGCTCTATTTGGTCAATAGAAATAGGGGTAACATCCAGCAGTAGTGAAGGGGGGGGTGATATGCCAATTCCTCTAGAGGAAACTGTAGTAATCGTCTTGACTCACATCTTTTGTAGTTGGAGAAACTGCAGAAATCTCTTTATTCTACAAAAGATGGGAAGACACCTTCAGAATTGCTGGTCAGTAATTTCCGGGTGCCCCAGTTCTTGAACCAACGCGTGGTCTTCTCCTCCTTCCCTGTGGGTGAGTACAGAGACTCCTCTCCTGGGTGTTTATATGCATGGACTCAGGTGTAGAGATAGGGGGATGTGCCCTCTGGTGGACAAATTTGGCCCAGCACCAAATCCAGGCTGGTGCAATAAAGATCATGCACAAAAAAAGTGTGTGTATGGGGAGGGGGGGGGACAGGGAGGAGGAGGCAACTCTGCCCCAGAACGTTTCTCTCCTTTTCCTTCTAGGGCCGTCTGGATACTCTGCAGGTGTGACTCCCCTCCTGTGATGCTCGCTCAAGGGGGCCGGGCACAGCCAGCTAGCCAAGCTGCAGTGGTGGTAGAGGACCGGAGCCTGCCAACCCAGCTTTGCCCTAGGGCCGGAGGAGAGCTGGCCATGGGTGGGGGAGGGGAGGGGTTTCTGTCATTCAGAACTTCCAGTAATCATGCAAAGAAAATGGGAAATGAACCGGCAAGCCTGACTGCCTTTCTGGAGTTCTAGAACAACATCTATTATGGTGGTAAATTTTTTTTAGCCATGAACTTCCTGGCTCACACCTTAGTTTGTTCACTGTCCTAGTCCTCAAAGAGGAAGTGCATTCCATTTTTAAACTTGGGAAGTATCCATCTCCCCCACCCCATCACCTCTTTAATAAGGCCTCTTTCCCTCTTTTCTCTTTCCAGGTGAGATCATTGCCATAATTGTCGCAGTGCTCTTGGGCTGTCTGGGTGTCTTCCTTGCTGGCTGGATTTTGGCAAAGAGAACCCGGTGAGGAGCAGGTGAATGTGGGACACCAACCCGGTTCCTGCCTAATTGCATCGCAGTGCCAGCATAAGGGAGGCTCCCACAAGCAATTCAAATGATCCTTTCCCCCACCCCATTCCTTCCCACGTGGAGTACCAAGAATGTCAAAACAGAGAATTTCACTGGAAAAAGAACACAATAGGTATTTATTAAACTTCCTCCTGCCTCATCCCGAGCTTTGTGTTTTTCTGCTTTATTGGACAGCAGTGGCAGGAGCAAAGGGCACTGCAGAAACCTAACACACCAGGACAAGACTTCCTCCTGCAGCCCTGCTGTCTTTCCAGTTCTTTGTGGAAGCCACAAGTATTTAGGCTGGGGGGAGGGGAAGGGGGAGAAAACCAGCAAGATTGGTCTGGGGAAGCACCAGCCCAACCAACATCGGCCTCCCTCTCCTGCCACGCTAGCTACTCGGCTGACTTTCCTGCCCAGCAGGATCAGGAAGAGGCAGTTGGCATGTGGGAAGGGGGGTTTCTAACAGCACCACCGAGACCCTCCACTCCCCTCCCAGTTCCTTTATCGGTCTAAACACAAAGCTACTGTTGTGCCTCCTGCCAACTTCCATGGTTGACAAAGGAGAAGAAGTCATGGGAATCCCATGGCCCAGGTTGAATATCTGGGCTGGTCTCTCAGTATTCAATATCCCACTCAACAAAACACAACTGCTACTTTCACAAAACCAGCTGTGCTAAGACAAGGGCTGGCTTCTCAAAACACCTGGGTGACAAACCACTCAGCCGTATTTGAGTCAAGACAAACACGCTGTGCAAACCCAGCTTTTGAGCTTGAGCAGGCTTTTGATCCAGAGGCAGAAACAGAAGTCTATGTCCGGAAAGGACCCCACAGCGCGAGATGCCTTTGTGCCACCCACAGGCAGGGCCCGCTTTAGTCTCTGCCCGAGGCGACGCAGCACGATAATACTTACCAGATAATTTCTTTTTATTAACTGCACTACGGACCAACTCATAAAAGGATTTAGGGCTCAACATTAAAGAAAGAAAGTAGGACTGGGACTTTATAAAAAAAAAAAAAAATAGAGCAAGAAAGATCCTTTGTGTTCCTACAGATACAGCAGCACCTCCTAGCCAGCAGGTGGTGCTCTTGCGCCTCACCAGGTCCAGTGCCCATACACAGGATTCCTCAGTGGATGAAGGAAAAGTTCAGGCTGAGAACAAAGGGATTTTGTTGGCACATGGGGAGCTCAGCCGTAGCCCACAAAACCTCCAGCCATGTTACGAATCCAGCAGAATCCACTAGGAAACGCGGTCTGGGAGTCGTTCGTCTTAAGGGGCTTGCTCAGCTCTCCAGGAGAACCCGAGGGTCCATTTTCCAGGGCGAAAAAAGAAGCAAAGGAAAATAAGCAGAGTTGGGGGGAGGGGGAGGGTTCCCAGCCACCAGCCAAGGCACAGAGTTAGCCTTCCTGCCCTCCAAGCCATCTTTTGGGCCAAGGAGCCTCTTCTGCCGTCCCAGGGCCAGGCAGGAGCTTCGACCATCTGATCAGCTCTGGAGCCCTTGTCCCAGATGAAGAGCCATGCCCGGAGGTGTGGAGAGTATCTCATCTTTTCTAGGAAGCCTCCGACTGCCAGGATCCAACAGGCAGGGGCTCAGTCCTCCATAGGGAGCTGCAGCTCAGAATACACCATAATGTGGCCATTCTCTTTCTCCCTGCCTACAAAGAAGGACAGAATAATTAGCCTGCGAGTAAGCCTCCCACATTCGGATTACCTCCTGTTCGGCTTCTAGCAGGACAGATGGAACAGGATGGGCAATGGAGAAGGGAGACCCCACCCTGTATTCCTCAACGGCGCTGCACCCCAGATGCAGAACTTTCTGCTCATCCTCCCTCAGGCACTTTCGAGGGAACAACGAACAGCCTCCCAGGATTCTTGGTGTTCTGCTCCTTCCCCCTTCCCTTTTCTCCAAACCCCACAAAAGTCATGGCTCTCACAGGAGAGGCAGGCAAGGATGTTGCGCAGCGAACCACCAGCTGTGAAAAAGGCCCACACCCCTGTTGAGACGGTGATCAGGAAGATGGGAATAAGGCTTGCTTCATAGTATGGGTTCAGAAATGTCTGGCGAGAAAGCAAGAGGGGATTTCAGAAGGCAGCCGAGTCTGCAGTCATTCCCCCACCCACCCAATCCCTCCATCAGCCTTTGTACTGGGGGACTTGGCCCCGTCTGCTAAGTGGTCCACTTTGTCCCAAATGCAGCGCAAATGCAGGGTACAATTCCCTATTGTGTCTCCAAGGGAATGAAGGAGAATAAAGCTATTTTAACTATGCTCTGTTAAAGGAGCTACATTGCTTTGGCTCCCATGATTCACTAAGGTATAAACCATGGCTTACAACCACAATTGTCTGGAAGTCCACAAGCTGGTTATCTTTTCCATGTTTTCAGACATTTCCAAAGTCAAGAGACAACTGGGTCAGCATCTTTTGAAATTCTCCATTCTGAGCAATCACACAGCAGTCTTATGAAGGTTTCAACCAGCATTTGTGTGTTTGGCTTTTCTCCTTCTAATCAAATTAACCTATTTTGAGGGTATCCAACAAAAAAGCTTTTTCCTGTTGCAGATTTTTATCTTCTGTGACTTCAAGTTTGATCATGAGATTACTCCATGCTGAAATATAATAGAAACTTGCTCCGGTAGTAAAGCCCCAGGGATCATTCCTGAACGGATTCTGTATACAAGTGCTTAACAGACCAAATGCCTTTTTTAGAAATTTCAGTTATGTTGGGCTATTGGTTAACCCTTCCCCCTTCCCCAGAAAGAATGGGTGGTGCGATCTCTTGTCTTGGAGAAAGCCAACCCGAGAAGGGTAGAAGCCCAGTGCTGCTTTCTTAAGAGGAGAACCAGATCTAACATACACTTTAGCTCAAATCCTGGGAAAACCGATCTGCTTCTAGATCCACTCACCAGCCCAGATATCACCAGGTGGCTGACAACCACCAGGGCCAACTTCCAGTAGCGTCTCGTCTCACAGGCATCAAAGAAAACGACCCCCCAGAATGTGTGTAAGAAAACCAGGGCCATGGTCAGGAAAGCTGGAAAGGGGAATTCAGCCACAAGACATGCCTGAGTTTGCAGAAAGTCTGAGATGGCTCAGAGTACAGAATCGCATCCAAACACAGCAAAACGAGAACTCATCAGACAAGCACATTCATATAAAAATGCCTAACAAAAGGATTAGGAAAACATTAGGAAACTGTGAAAAAACAGTTTATTGTAAATGTCTCTGGAGATTCTGAATCATCCCAATCACGGCTGTCCCAAAAGTGCTTTATTTTTTCAAAAGGCACCTGGACTTTCTTGGGGTTTTCTCTTTCTTTGAAAATGGATCCAAGAAACTGGATCTCATTCTCAGAACTGAAGAAGTTCCTTGGATGAGAAACAAAACATTTTCAAAGAAAGGAAAAGAACCAAGAAAGTCCAATTGCCTTTTTGGGGGGAAAAAAGCACTTTGGAGACAAGAGCTTTATTGTCTTCAGCATTTTCTTAAGGAAAGTCTTGGGATTTTTTTCACACCTGTCACAACAAAATGCTTTTTCTGTTTCGACAAACATCCCAGCCCTGGAGAAGCAGGCCTGAAGAAGCGGTTATGCCAAACGTTTTATAGATTCCTCCCTGCATCAAATCCTGTCTCTCGGGGGAGGCCCTGCCTTTCTGTAGTCTTGCCAGCTACATCTCATACTTTTTCCGATTCTAAAACGTTTGAAAATGCCTCTTGCTGAAACACCAGAAGGGACCAGGGAAAAAGCTACATATAAAAGCCAGTCTTCTTGTTTTTTTTTAAAAAATGTTTGTTCGGGCAATCTCTCCCCTCCCACCTCAAAAGGTCCTACCTGAAGTGATGAAGTAATAGGGCGAATCCCCGTGGATGCCAACTGTGCCGGGACCAATGGAATCTGCAAGGATGTTAATGACGGAGAAGACGCCGCTGATAATTCCAAAGGAGAGGCCTGACACTACCGGTGGATGGAAAATCATAGTGGAAAACATTTGAAATGGTTTGCCCAATTAGCAGCAACCCTGACAGCTGTTTAGAAAATACACGGGACGGAGCCTCTGCAAAGGCTAAGCTTGAGGTCATCCAAAAGCAGAAAGCGAGGGTGGGGGGCAGAAGGAGATTTCCCCCCCTACTCTGTGGCAACCCCCAGAACCAGAGGGTTCACTCACCATAGGCCATTTGTTTGGTCGAAATGGGTGAGCGCCCATCCTCACTTATGGTTACAAGCCCTTCATCAGCTTTCCTAAAACAGGATGCAGAGGAAGCGGGGAACTCGTTGAGCATCTCAAAATAACAATTGGCCACCTCCACTGACTACACTCCCCTCCCCAGTTCTCCTTGGATTCTTTATCCCGTTTAGGTTCAAGGAACAAAATTTCATCTTGAATTAATGCCATCACTAACCCTAACTCTATCATGCAACCCCAAGGAACAGAGGACCGGCTTCACTAATCCCAGCCTAAGTGAGAGGACCACTGCAAATGAAATAAAGAAAGGAAGCACAAATAAATATCCTGAGAGAAAGACATCTTGTTCTGAAGGCTTAAGTCAGTGCCAAAGAAAGCACCAGGACAGGATGATTATTTACTGAGTAAAAGGCTTCCCACTCTTTACTGCCCTCAGACTTCAGTTCCTGAGAATCTCTGGAACGAGTTCATAGGGAAGAATTAAGAAAATTAAGCCAGGCATAAACTGGCTGCAAGGACTGGCCAGCTGTTTAGCAGAAAGTCTCTCTCTCTCTCTCCCTCTCTCTGTCTTACTTGAGGAGCTTGAAGTGAGCAAAACGGAAGGCTTCCTGCAGCAAGACAGACACCGTTGCCCCAAACATCAGCAGGAGATGCTGCAGCCGCTTGTTCTCCTGGTCACTCAGGTGAATGGAAATGAACCAGACCAGGGAAGCCAAGAGAAGGGAGACCAACCAAAAGAAGGCCCTGGATTTGGAAAAAAAGAAAAGCGCAGTCATTTCTCTTGGAAGCTGCTTCCTGTGGGTTTTGAAAAGATGCCCCTGACACTTCAACTCCACCTGCATCAACTATGCAGTCTGAACTATTATTTATAGTATTTTGCATAATTTACATTGTTTCTACCCATTTTTTTTTAAAAAAAAAAACAGCAATCCACCAAAGTTTGTTCTAGAAGTCTATTTTAGTCATTTCACTGGCTTGTGAAATTACAGACAGTATCCATTTCTTTCCAGGCATAATTTTGGAATTCCAAAGGCTACTTTAAAAAAAAGTTGGTTTTTAACAGGGTCAAGGAGCTGGAATTGTCACATGGTGTTTCATTTTTTAATTTTGGTTCAACATCCTAATATATGCAGAGCTTGTTGTGAGTTTTCCCGACAACACTCATCAAACCTGAGAAGAATGTTTTATTTCCGGAAGACAGAAATTTCAAGGAAGAAACAAAGCAACTTTGATAATAAAAGAAGGCATGTGAGGCAGTGGGGCTGACATCTTGAAGTCCCACCTGACTGGCACTGATGAAATGACCCGGTTAGGGCAATGAAACGTCTGAAAGAAAACAACCAAGTCCAGAGAGCACCGAGGAGCCCTCAGTCCGACCTTAGCCAAAGCCGGACTTGGCTCTCGGAAGCTCCGAGTCCGAACTCGGAAGGGTCGCATCTTCCCTAGACTGTCGGACGGTGGATTCCCCTCTCCGGGGAGTCAAAGGAAGGGGAAAGAAGGAAAGAGGGAAGGGAAGGCCAGGCCTTTGCCCTGGGCCTCCCCTGCCTCGCTCGCCGCCGAAGCGGGAGGAACGTCCAAGTAGGCACCGAGGGCAGCGGGCGGGGCAGTTCATCGCCGCGTAAAGACGCCCCTCTCCCTCCCGGGCGGCCACTTTCTCACGGTCGGACATCCGGCCGTTGCACCCACGAGCACGGGGGTCTCCGGCGGCAGCTCCCCACGCCGGAAACGGCTCTTCGAGGAGTTCTGCTCCCCGCCTTTCCCGCCAGGACGCCCACCGGAGCCCCGCCGCCTACAGCCCGCCACAGCTAGCGTCGCCTCCCCTGGCCCGCCGGCCCTTCGCCCGCCCCGCCGGGCCCGCCCTGACCCTGCCACCAGGATAAGGACGCGCAGGGGGTCCCCGGCCACAGTCAGAAGGCAGAGCGCCAGCGCCGGCCCGAAGGCGATGCAGGAGCAGCCGAAAAACACCGACGCCCCCATCGCGCCTCGGCAGGAGGGAGGAGCGAGGGTGGGACTGGGAGGCCCCTGGGCGGAGCTTCCCGCACGGGCACCCTGGGAGCTAGTGCCCGGGGCAGGACACGCGCCCGGTCGGGGCCGTCTGAGCTCGCAGCAGGCGGGTGTCACCTGCTAGTGCGTCGCCAGGGGCGCCTCCGGTCCCTCCTGCCCCTCTCCTGCAGCCGAGGCCGGCGGTCGCGCAGCGCCAAGGACCGCGCGGCGTTCGGGCATCCCTAAGGCACCTTTTCGTGTGGAGGGTGGAGGTCTGGAACTGCGGCCACGAGCGGGGCCCTGGCCGGCGGCTTCCACCTCTGCCCTACCCGGGCACCGGGCGCCACGCCCCGTCCGTCTCCTCCGCTCAGCGCAGGGCCGGGTGGCCATCCTGGGCCCGGAGCCGGAGGCAGAAGCGGCCCGGCTTTTGGGAAGATTCCCGGTTGGCAGACGAAGAGCCGCGGTGCGAGGCTGTCGGAAGGAAGCCTGCGCCCGCAGGAAAGCCGGATTAGAAGGAAAACATGAATTATGGGCATTGGCCAGGATCTGATGATAATTCTGGAAAGTCCTTTGGAAGGAATAGAAATATAAATGAAAAAAATAAAGGATGTTGGTGCATTAACTGGATTTAAAAGGAATAATGAGAAAACAAAGATGTTAAACATAAGGATGGAAGAGCAAAAACAATTGATGGAAAGATGGTTAAAGATTGAGACAAAACGGGAAAGTGGAGAAATGGTATGAATAGTAATGAGCAGTATTATTACTAATACAGATTCTGTGTTATTTCGAACAATTATATTAACAGGTGAAACCAAATTAAGGGTGTGCTAAGTTTGGAAAAATTATAATCGTCATTGTTGGGCAGAACAGCTTTGGCCCACAGATCACCCCTATTTTGACAATGGACGTGCCACTGAAGCAATGGCAGACGGAGAGATCGAGTTTTGTGTGGCAAGGGAAAAAGCGAATTCTGCAAAGCCTTGCCAAGAAAACTGCCATCTTTGAGAATCAGATACAAGGGAATGGAAGGGAAAAAAAGAGCACCCCCCCACCACATAGAGTGCAACAGGGCCATAGCCACTGTGCGGGAGGACAGCTGGGCAGAAGGCAGCCCATGCAGGAAGACCTCCCCTCCGGCAGCTGAGACTCTAATCAGGGATCCGCACCATAAGAACCGGAGACAGAAAGCAGTCAGAGAACCAACCGCTAAGGAAAAAAATCACACCTGCACCTAAACTGGCAGAGCAAGCTACAGGCAACAAACCCCAGACTCACTCACACTGATGACATTTCCTAGTTGGGTTAATCAGTTTGTTAATCAACTAATTAACATTCTCTAATTGTTTGCTAATTTTACTCAAGATGCTAAAAGGAATACTTTGTTTTCATACATGCTTACTTGTGTGTAATCCCCCCCTTGAAAACAAGGGAAAAGGATAAAGATAAGAAAGGGCACACCCAATGAAACCGGGCATTTCACTCTCCTTCGCCCAAAAGCCTGGGAGAAATGGGAGGTCTTCACTGCTCTTTCTAAGTGAGGAACGGCAGGACAGCAGGTGTGGTTAACCCAGGTCAGGCCTCGGAAGCTCCAGTTCAGCCTGGGGAGCTTCCCAAAGGTTTCTGCCTGCTGTCCAGTGATGCCAAGCTGTCATCAAAATCCTGGGCCTCATTAGCTTCCCTTCCTTGCTGCAGAAATTTAAAACTCAGGAGAAAGGTAAATGTGAAGGACGTCCCACCTTAATTCTTCATATCAGATGACTGAAACTGAGTCTGCACAAGCACAGCAATGCTGAACATGAAGCTGCTGCTGTTTCACAAGTCAAATTGTAACAATATGGCCTGTAGTTATAACTGTCTCCAAGCCATAAGAGAGAAAGCAACCGACCGACCAGGCAACCTAGAATTTCAGTCCAATAACGTAATTCATGACCGTCTGCGGATTCCTCATCACTGACAATTTCCAATAAAGACAGGATAAAGTCCCAATACTGATGGTTTGAGTACACGATGTATTTTTAGAAGTGAATATTTGTAGCTTAGTGTGGAACTGTGGGGTTCTTGGCGCTCTCTGGGTTTGGTTGTTTTCTTGCAGACGTTTCACTACCCAACTAGGTGACAGCATCGGTGCTCCTTGACGACGCACTGATTACTAGCACTGCTGTCGCTTAGTTGTAATTAAACATCGGTGAGAAAACAACCGAGTTCAGACCAGGAAGGACCACACACAATGTATCTTTTTAAAAGGCAGATTACGAACGTTAAGGCACGGCTCATCCAGGACGGAAACAGGCAGCAATTTTACAAGCGAGCAGATACAGAGCACCGAAGGAGGCCGGACGGTACACCCGCCCTACGCACAAAAGAAAAGTTCAAACCTCCCAAAACTGCAGACACGGAGGCAAAGAATATTCGGCCGTTCCCACCGTTACCTCGATCATCAAAGCAGTGGTTTTTTTCAGCCTCTAGTCTGCACATTTATTTACGCAGAGAAAGCAACATGAAAGATTGTGCCGTAATGATTTGTGTTGCTCTGTAACACGCAGGCGGCCCTTTTTTAGAGAAAGAGCGGCGGGGGGGGGGAACTTCAGAGCCTCGTCGTGCGCAGGGGACGAGGGGAAAGCGGACCCCGACCCTCGCTTGATCGGCAGCCCCGCCCACAGCCGCGCGTTGCTTTCAGAGCGCCTCGGGCGCGCACAAAAGGAGACGTCGGCGCCCGAGGAGCCACGGGGGGGGAGGAGGGGAAGGGGGGGGCGCGCGGCCACTCGTCGAGCCGCGGGAGCCCTGCGCGTCCAGCCAATCGGCTCCCTGGGGCGGGGGGCGCCGTCGAGAACCACGCCGGGAGAGGCGGGGCATCTGCTAGGGGGCCCCATGCGCCGTGTCATGGAGGCTCAGTGTGCGAGCGGCCATTGAAGGGAAAGGAGCTGCGCGTTTCGCAACAGGAGGCGGGATCGGGGTGGCAGAGCAGTCCGGAGTTCCCAACTCCGCTTGCACCGCCTTCGGGGCCCTTTGTTGAGCAGCCGAGAGGGGGGATTCTCCTTTAATTTTGCTCTTCTCCTCCCCCTCCTCCTCCTCCTCGCCACGCATCCCCTCGCCTGCCTGTCGGGTTCTCCTTAGGTAGTTTTGCGCCCCTCCCTCGCTCTCCACTTTGGAGAGCCTTTCCAGATGGAGATGAAAAAGCTGGAAATGAAGAAGCGCGTTAACCTGGAGTTGAGGAACCGCGCGCCCGAGAAGGTGAGGACAAACCCTTGGGAGGCAGGAAATGGAAGATCTTTCAAGATCCCGAGGATTTCCCCCCTCGCGCCTCGATCGTGCCGGAAGCGCGCGGTGACCGATGCGCGGCGGCGGCCCCGGGCGTGTGGGTGGGGGGGGGGGCTTAGCAGCAGAGCGGCCGCCGGACCCGTCTCCTTCGAGCCCCGGTGGGCTTCTCTCCTTTTAAGGGCTCTCATCCAAGGCCCGGCCTCCCAGAGATGGGCTTTTCTCTGCGAGGCCTGGCGGCGGTCAACCAGCTTTTCTGACTTTCTCTCCTGCTTCCACGTTTTCCCCGAGCGATCCCAGCGCGACATAAATCACCAGGACGCGAGGTTCCTCCTGCCTTCCGTATCCTAAAGGGGGTTGTTGGAAGCCCGATGCAAGAGGCGAGCTGGTTAACTCTTCCGTTCCCAACGCCGCCCGGGCTCGGGCAGTCCCGCCGTGCAATCTCCCCGCCCCAAAGCAAGTTAATTAAAAATAAGCGGAGGCTCAAGATCGAGGAGAACCGAGCGCAAGAAAGGAGGTTCCCAAGTTAAAACTTTCCTCCTCTCTTCCCCCCCCCTTTTTTTGCAGTTAACTGCTCTTTCGTCAAAGGTTAGGCAACCTCAACTGTGAAAAGATTGTAGTGAGTTTTTCACGCTTCCCTCCTCCCAACCAGCAAATTGCCTGTTGGGGTTTTCCCCCCTTTCTCGTGCAGAAAAAAGCCAGATAGTCCGTGTCTGGTTTGAGTAAGGGTGGAAACGCTGGATTCCGCCGATTCTTGTAGCGAATGTACTTTACACAAACTGTGGTAAACAACCCTGGCTGCAGCTGAATCCATCTTAGTCTCTTCTACGCAGATGAATTAGACTTCTTCCTCTAGAGCCGGTGGAGGGTGGACCCTTTCTTTAAAAAGCAGCTCCTTCCAGCCAGACATTTTCAATGTGGTTTAATCTTTCTCAAACACGGAGGGCAGCAATCGCTCTGCCCCAAGAGCGGCCATGGAGGGGCAACGCCCCTCCCTGTTCCTTGAAACCTCATGCCTGGGCGGTCAAGGAGATAAGGCCAGTGGAGAGAGGCTGATGATAAGCTATGCCTGCCTGCCTGCCTGCCTGCCTGCCTGGGGCTTCTGTGCCTCTGGAGCGTTCACAAAGGCAAGAGTGTGCCCACCTCCTGCCCTAAGATGGGATGGCATATACGGCCCCAGGTCACCAGCTGGCTGCAGACAGAGGGAGTTTTAATCCAGCCTGTCGCAAGAGCACAAGATAGAGAAAGGTGGAGGGAGCCGAGTAGCAAGGAAGAATAACCCACCAGAGAGGAGAAGCAGGAAACCTCTCATGTCACAGGAGTGCCAGTGCCCAGAGCACTGCACTGCGTTCAGACATTTCTATGGCTTTGTGCTGGAGGAAGAGAGGAAGGAGCGGAGCGACCCTCTTGCTCCTTTCCCCTCCCCTGCTGGGGAAGACCCAAGGCAGAGCTTCCCTGCCTTGGGGCGGCCAAAGAGAGCTGCCCCAAGATGGCTGACAGGCGCCGGGAGCTGTCCTTGCCCTTCTTCAGAAGGTGCAGCTAAAGAATTAACAGCCATCCCTGTGCCCATAATGCACAGCACACAATGAGCCCCTTCCCTAGTACATTCCTGAGAATAAATGTGAAAAGTTCTTTACTCACCAAATCACACGGTGTTTTCTAGAGAAGAAATTGATGCTTCTTGTGGTACCTAGTAAAAATAAGAGATACCACTGTTGTTGAAAGCTTGGCAAATCTAGCTTAAAAGAGAGTGACACTACAAAGTGAACACTTCTTAGGCTGGATCCCGGCGACAGCCCCAGCCCCTTGGGGAGTTCCCCTGCCCAAATCAACATGAGGAAATGCTGTAACTCAAGAAAGCACTTGCCGTGTTTTTATGAATAGGAAGGCAATGGTTACATTAAGCTTCTATGTCTCCTTTCCCTTTGTAGCATAGGGTGCAGTAGTGTCAGAATGTTTTCTATTTGGAATAAAAAGTTTCTAGTTATTATTACTAAAAATGTTGCTACTGTATCTGTCCAGGTTTGAAGACCTTTCCTTCAAGGCAGTTTTTTTTAAAGGCTTTGCTATATCTGAGTATGACCTGTCTCCCAGTATTAAAAAAATGTTTTAATTCTATTACATATGATGCTATTTATTTATTTAAACAAATATAACTTTGAAGCCATTTAGAGATCCTTTCTGGGTCCAAAGCTAAATATATTAACAAATCACATGTGTCTAAAATTAATCTAAATGATTAGTCATAAAGTTTGCAAGAGAAAGATGGAAAATACTCCTATGTAACAAATAAAATGTGTTTTATCATCTGTGCGATAGACTCAGACCAACTCAGAGGCAAATGTGCTGCCCTTTTAGGTGGCTGAGCTGGTGCTCGACAACTGCCGCTCCGGCAATGGTGAAATTGAAGGCCTGAGTGACTCATTTAAAGAGCTGGAATTTCTCAGCATGGCCAACACAGAGTTGACCTCTTTGGCCAAACTCCCCACTCTGACAAAGCTCCGAAGGGTGAGTGTTAGGTTATGGCCTGGATGGTGTACAAATTTTAATGTCCATGCAGTCTTTTGCCTAAGAATCTTGTCAATGATAATTAGTAATATATGTCGCCTAACTATTATGCCCGCTGTACCATGAAAACATATATATTTGCTTAGGTAACTTTTTATGAGAGAATGTGTAGATTTCAGAGTCAACCCCACTGACTGGCATGTTTATGCTGTAGCTGGAATTGAGTGACAATCTAATTTCCGGTGGTCTAGAAGTCCTGGCAGAGAGATGTCCAAATCTTACATACCTAAATCTGAGCGGCAACAAAATCAAGGATCTCAACACTGTTGAAACTCTTGTAAGTATAGAATTGGATGGGGAGGGGAAGGGATTGAGAGAGGTGTTAAGATGTACTTGGTTGTCCTTACGTAGCGATCACTGAATAAAGGCCAATGTATTTAAGGTGCTAAAGAGCCTTGGAAAAATGTAACATCATTGTCTGAATAATTGGTCTCATAACTACTACTGTAGGTGATGTGATGGTGAGTGTACCTTGACTAAATCCAAACAGTTTAAAAGAGCTTTGTCTTTACAGGTCTTTTCTAAGAGGAGGCCCTCCCAATGTGTTGGATTACAAATTGCACCATCTTCGGCGATGCGGTCCAACCAATTTGGAGGGCACCAACTTGCAGAGAACTGCTCTAAACTGATCCCTGGCAGATCAGAATAAAAAAGGAATCAACCACAACTGTGCAGGCGTTTGCACAAATTTTCCTTTTCTTGTTATCTAGCTGCTATTTCTAGCTAATACTTCAAGTTAGAATCAGGTTTGGGTTCCATGCTGATGTGAATGCTGCTATGCATATCACATCTCAGGCAGAATTACTCAACCTGGTCACTGACCAACAAGCTGTTTTTCATTCCAGCATACAAAGTGAGTTGGCGCCAATGTAGAAAACTATGAAGGGTAGTTTCAGTTCTCTTATTGTCTTGGCCAACCCCACTCCCCAATGGATACATAGCAGAGTAACTTGATTTAGCAACTTAATAAATAACATCTCTGTTTTTCCTAATTTTTAGCAAAATCTGAAGAACCTGAAAAGCCTTGATCTGTTTAACTGTGAGATCACAAATCTGGAAGATTACAGAGAAAGTGTGTTTGAACTGCTCCACCAAATCACGTATCTAGATGGGTTTGATCAGGATGATAACGAGGCCCCGGATTCAGAAGAGGAAGACGAGGATGGTAATTGTTCGTTTGAATATTTACTATGAATATGTTCAAGCTGTCGTTAGGAAACAAATACCTGAAATATGGAAATTGGCCAGAGATCAAAATACGCTATTCAAACTATATGTGCTCTACATGCTAATAAACAATGCTTTTCCTTAAAGAGGGAAATAAATCTTGCAGTTAACAAAATTACATTTCCTATAAATATACATTTTTAGAAGTAGTTGATTGTATAGTAGCAGGTCTGTTCAGCAGTTTGGTTATGCCCCTCTGTGACTTGCAACCTTTCAGAGGCAAGGCACTACTTGGTTGAGCATTTTACTTCCGCCACCCTCCTACCTTCCTTGAGAAGTGGGTTCTTATTTCAGTGAGTGCTGGATTCGAACTCTTGACTTCTAAGTTAGGAGTGAAGGAGACAGCATGCCTTTATTCACTTTTTCTTCAGATGGGGATGAAGATGAGGATGAAGATGAGGACAAAGCTGGTCCCCCAGGCGAATATGAGGAAAATGAAGATGACGATGCTTCAGACTTGGGGGAGGGGGAAGAGGAAGAGGAAGTGGGTCTTTCATATTTGATGAAAGAAGAGATTCAGGTTACAACTTACTGTTCATTTGCAAAGCATTTACCCTTATTAACTTGGCTTCGTATTTGAAAGCCCTGGCAGTTTGTGCAAAAGTCCTCCACAGGGTTTCTCCTGCCGTAGCATGTGGATATTCACCGTATTCAAGCTTTAGGAAAAAGTCAAACGTGCCACCTTGCTTGATCTATTTTTTTTTTCTTACTTTGTATTTTATGCTTTTTTATTCATTCATATCCACTGGCTTCATCTCCACTATATTTCTCAGGAGAATCATCAGGCTTTTTTAAAAAATTGTATCTTACAAACTGCTTTTTAAATAATCTAAACTGATATTTCAATTGAAATATGACTAAGTTCCCACAAGAGGATCTGGGTCTGGGTTACAGTGGTAATATATTTTTTAAGCAAAAATTTATTAGGTGTAATATAGCTCATGGTAATCAGCTGAGAACTATATAAGATGGAATCTAAAACTTTTGGACAGATATGAGGAAAGAGGGCACGGCTACTAAATTACCACAATTGCAACTATTGCTTTAAGGGGTTGTTTAACTCTAGTTTTGATTTTTCACTCTATTTACATGGAAAATGTTTACTTATTTCTAAGTTTCATAAGTTTAGTTAAATGGCACCTTAGTAATTTTGAATATATTTCTGAAATCATTAACTTGTTTCTCTAAAGGATGAAGAGGATGATGATGATTACGTAGAAGAGCGAGAGAATGAGGAAGAAGGTAAGCTTCATATTCAGCCTTTGACTTTTTTAATTTTACTCCTCTGGATTCAAAAGTTGCCTTCTATGATAGTAGTTTTCTCTCAGAACAAAAAGAACTTTTATAAATTTTGTTAGCTGGGATAAAGTTAGTCTTATCATTTAACTTATAATGAATTCTTGGTTCATTTGAGCTTCTAAACTACTTGTTTAATACTACTTAAATCTAAGTTTTACAGAGATAAATTGATAAAGATTTTTAGCAGATTCATTGATATTTTAAAAGTGTGAGTTACCATTATACGCAATTGTTCAGAAGTGATGAAAATAAGTGTACAACAGTGTGCAGGAATCACTGCCTCTTAATTTTCCTTTGGACATGTCTAAAAATTCTTTCCCACAGACGCCGCTGTCAAGGGGGAGAAGAGAAAACGTGCAGCTGAAGACGAAGGAGATGACGACGACGATTAAGTCATAGAAAATACAAATAGGACCCGATTCATTTTTGTTGGAATTATGCAATAGTGATATGCAGATTTGTAAGGCTCCATGTATGATAGGTCTCTACAAAAGATATTAATGTGTTTAACTTTTTATAGGAAGTGTTTTACTATGTTGCCCTTTTTATCATTCCAACTAAGACATAATAATCCATTATTGATCATATTTCCATCCGTTTTACTCACTGAAGCAGTTGTCCCTATTTCCTGCATAGAAACTTTATTCCTCCCATTTTTTTCTTGTTTCCTCATTATGAGCATGCTGTTAACCCTAGTCAGTTACTTCAGATGGATTGAACAGATTTAATATAAACTTTTAAGAGAGCATGCTCAAGTCAAATATACAGGAGTAAGATAACCAACTCTTCATTGGAAAGGACTATGTTGCAACTGAAATGGGAATTAGGTGATCTGGAACTCCATTTTACCTATCATTTAATTTTAAAAGGATATCTGAATGATGCACTGAATTCCTAGTTCATTTCTGTGTGGTTAGTCTCTTTCTCTCTCACACACACACAGAGAGAGACTTTTCTAGTAGATAATTTTAAACAAGACTGGAATACAGTTCTCTATTTTAGTCTCACTCTTCCAAACAAAATATAAACTGGAAATAATTATAGTTCATTCAAGATTATAATTTTTTCATGATCCTTTTGACCATTCCTCTAGACTTAAAAAAAGACTCATAGCTTACATGCATATTTCAAAATTCTTTTGTTCTAATTAAAATTGAACAATCATTCTTCAGTACTAAATTCAACCTAATTCTTTCTCGCTATATTGCCCTTTCAAGCAATATTGGCAGGTGAGCTGAGCTTAGAGCCAAGCTCCTGAAAACCACAAGTTGCTTGTGTTGCTAAACTGGGAAGACATTTAGGAAGGCAGCTGGCCCCTGAAGCCAACTGAGAAGGGAGAATGGCTTTACACCTTGACTCATGGAAAGAAATATACAAAGTTACGATTTGGCGTTCCCTCTGGGATAGGCTAGTTCGTAAAAGTATGGGTTCTTATTGAGGGAAGTTATTCAGCCTTGATTTCACTGTTAAAAAAATACAGAAATACATTTTCTACATGTGCCAGCAAGGCAATACTAATCTTTTCTGTGGAAGGTAGACTGGTTACGTTCTTATTCCCTTTTGTGCAGGTTATTTTGACAAAGAAAATGTAGAAAAAATGGATTCAGAGCTGTTTTCTGGTTCTCTGTTTCTGACAGATGAACTTGTATTATTAAATAAATATTTTACTCAAATACATATATGTATTCAAATTACACTATTATCTGTCAGATTTTAGAGAAGCGGTTTTAGATAAATAGATAAAGGGCATTTTTGCATAGGTGCTTAGGTATTCCATTTGCCTGAAATACAAACAATGCTTTACAAACACAGGCATACTTAGTATATCACGTTGCACTCTTATTAGTTTCAGGAACTGGCTTTCATAAACTTCAACAAAATTAAACATTCTCCTCTTCCTCCCCCCGCAAAAAAACAGGGCGATACGGCACGGCTCATTTTGAAGGCATTTGAAAAGAAAGGAGCGTGAAAGGCAATTTTGTAGAAATTCTGGTCGTTTTAGGCATCTTCAAGGGCTTATTAAACCTGTTAGTCCCAATTTCGTATTTCTGTAAGAATAACACTTGGAAGAAACGCACGTTGTCCCGAAGCTTTTGGGTTTAAGCCGCGCTGTTTGGTAATCGGGGCTTCTCTCCCCGAGGATTGCACGGTCTCCGTTTGCTTTTTGGCTAAAGGGACTCGACTTCCGGGCCGGCCTGCAATAACCATTCCGCAAGTCGAGCCCTGGCCGCCGGGCCTCTCCTCGCAGCCCCGGGGGGGCCCCCGGCCTCGGCGGAGAACCGGTCTCGGGCGGCTCCCCCTCGGCGCCCGGCAGCGGGAAACACGGGACGGGCAGCGCTTTCCGGCCCTGGCGGAGCTGCCCGGCTTAGCGGGAGGCCGAGCGCGGAAAGGCCCAACTCAAAATGGGCCCGGAGACGCTCCCCTCGGCGCGCCGGAAGCCGGGCCGGCTCTGGCGGAAAAGGGTCTGGGCGGGCGCCGCGGATTGGCTGGCGGTTGTCGCAATTGCCCAACGGCCCCGCCTCCGGCCCAATCCCGGCGGGGGAGAAGGAGAGGACGCGCCCGGCGCCCCGCCCCCTCCGCCCGGCGCGCTTCCTGGGCCGCTTAAAGGGGCCGCATTTTTCCCTCTCCCGAAAAGCCCCCCCCCCCGACCGCAGCAGCCCCTGCTTCTTGGGAGGCCGGCCTTTCCCCGGCAGAAGAGCGGAGGCGCCGACGTTAAGGGGAGAGGCGAGGGCGGCTTGGGAGGCGCGGCCCTCGACCCGATGCTCAGCCGAGAAGGGCCTGCGCCAACTTCCTGGAGAGTACATTTGCTCCGAGTAGTAGACGCTGCTTGGGGCTGCAACCGTCCCCGAGCCTCCATCCCATCCGGGAGTTCAGGCCGGCCTGAAATTACTTGTCCCACCCCAGGAATCACTGGATTAGATCGATCAATATTGAATTAGAATAAAGAATTTTAAGAGCCACATTTTTCAGTTGTGATCTTCTGTCTGAAACGGGCCCTGGGGTGACCTGGGCATCCATTTCCTTTAAAAAAAAAAGAGAAAACCATGGCTTTCCCAGAAAAAGTATGCAAACGCTTCCAGTCTCTAGGATTTAACCAAACGGAGTAACTTCCTGGCTAAACATTAAGACAAGACGCCTGTGTAATCGAGTAGGCACAAAACTAAAATTAGACACATCAAGACCAATATGCTCCTTGGCAAAGTGATGGCGTTGTATGTCCTCTTCCTATGTCTCACGGAGGGGGGGGGGAAGAGCGGGATATTAAAATACAATCACGGCTAATCCAAATTGATCCACAGCATCTAATTATCCAACTGACCCTTCAGAAGCTGCTATTGCTTGCTACATTATTCCCCAAAGTCAATATATACCCCTTTGATTTTGTGTAAAATACCCCTGAATATGTAAGCAGATATGGTAGTTGCTATAATAAAAAAACTAGGAAATGCAACAAACCAAAGAAATTATGCTTTGTTCACTATTTATTTAAATCAGCATTTTAAATTATGGGGAGAACTTGAGCTCTTTTAACCTCCTGCTTTTTGTGAGCTCTTGGGGCAAATTTACAGTCTCATTTAGAAGGGGCTTTAGAAAATGGAGCCCTTTGTGAGTAACACTTACCTTAAGTAAACGGTCCCTAGGCTTGGCATCAGTTTGGTTTCTTGTACTGCTTGGCCATCATCACTATCGTCTCCTCACCACCGACTTCCTGCAGAGCAGGGCTTGAGGGGCAGCACCCCTCACCCCCACACACCTGGAGTTTGTGAACTCTGAAGCCAGTAAAGTTAGCCAAGAAAAGGTTGAGTAAATAAACACTTCCTCGGATTCCTTGTTTTATTGCTCCATAAGTGGTGCTCGGTTATTTCCACTGACAGTAAAAAAAAAAGGGAAAACCTTGTTCTTATTTGCTTTAGTGACCACATTTGTCCACCTGAGCCATATAGATTTGTCACCAGTAAAGGACTAAGTTTCAAAGAAAGGATGTCTTTTCTACACCCCAGTGCTATTCCTGCCCCCCAGGTAAATAATAGCCCTATTTTGCTATTCCCAGATGAACCCAGACAGGATTGCAGTCTAAGTGAGTAGACTGAAGCAAAAATTACAACAGCTGCTGTATCAGTTCCTTCCTCTTTGCCTCTGGAGAGAAGGAGATATGCAGCTCTTGAATGCAAAATTAATTTAAAGCCTATTAGTTTGCTGTTGTGCCATTGCAGAGATGAAGGGGAGGGACCCAGCAATTAATTAAGAGTTTTCATTTTATTGCCCAGTGTGTGGATTCTTTGCCAGTAAGTAGAATTCTTCCCATATTCAAACTTTGTATCCTTCAAAAAAAAAAAAAAAAAAAAAAGTATCCTTTCTGCCTAGAAAGGAAATGTAGGGTTGTTGGATTACAAACAAAAACTAGTAACATTGTACTGGGTTGATCAATAATAATAATAATAATAAACTTTATTACGGTCGTAGACCAGCAATAGCCGTAATGGGTTGAGCAGAACATACATCATCAGGTATTTTGCAAATGCCAGGTCAAAACACTACATGTTGTGAAGTTTTCATCAAGCTATATCCAGGAAGTAATTTAGTATCTTGAATGGGGGCGGGGCTGCCAGAACAAAGTGGCTGCAGGGTGTTTGGGTACAGTGGAGCCACCTCATCTCAAGAAGGGTCAGCCCGAGATGGCTGGGCCTCAGCACCTGCCAAGCGGTCAGGGTTCCTCGGAGCAGCTTCCCTCTGCTGTGCTGCGCAGCCCAATCACCCTTGAGACAGTGGGACTGGCCAGGGACCCACCCCGAGAGATTCTGTACTCAGCTGACTCCTTTCCGTGGCCCTCTTCAGGGGGCAAAGCTGCCTCTTCTGGATGCCCCACTAGCATTGCTGGGCTCCGGATGCAAGAACTCAAGCATCACAGGAAAAATGGACCAGGAATATTTTCGGTTGAGATGTTAAGGAACATCTGTGTAGCACTGAGCTGAAGATAAAGGCAGAAAAGAGGGGAGCCGACAGAGGAGACTCTAGAGAAGGGGGGGGGAGGTTTGAGCTGATCCTAACCAGAGAAGGACTGAGGGCTTCTTCCATGGGCATCTCCAGCACCCCCAGGCATCATGGCCAAAGTGTGCACCACCCAGAAGTCCACAAAAAGGATGAGCAATTTTGCCTCCTCCCCCCTTGAAGGGGATGGGGAAAGCTAGCCAGCATGAAGACCCCCCTCCCCGCACTCCGAGGGAGGCACAGGTGCTGCACCAAAGCTGCCACAGGAGACGGGATGCGCACAGCAGCCTGTTGGAAGCCATCTGGCAACCTCCAATTATCTAGGGAGCAACACAGAGCTGCCCCCTCCGCTGGTTGCTGAAATCAAAGTTGGCAAGTTGGGGGGGGGGGAGGCACGGGAGGGAGAGGGTCCCCTCCAGCCTGGCCTTCTTTTTCTTCCACTTGGAAGAGGGCCGATGTGCCTGAGTCAAAGAGGAGAGGGCACACAAAAGGGGGGGTGGGAGGCTCTTGAACTGCTCTTGCTCCATCAGCAGCAGGACCAGGTGGGGAAAAGCGTGTGGGGGGGTGAGTCGTCATTCGAGGGGGCTGCCTGCTGGAGAAACAGCCGGATGGTTTGCGTCAGAGTGAGGTGTGAGGGTCTTTCTAGGCCCCCCAGGAGTTGGCTGGCCTCCCTTTGGGTCTCTGGGAAGATGAATGCCCATCGGGATGATCAGGTGACCCAAGTGATTGTGCTGGGGGGGCTCCTTGCTTCCACCTTCCCTTATATGGCTTGAAACTCGTTGAAGGCAGCTATTGGCTGCTTGGCTAGATACCCCTAAGGAGGGAGAGTGTTCAAAGGTGGGGGGGGGGAACCAGAAGAGAGAAGGAAAGGGAGAAGAGAACCAACGCAGGAGAGTCTCTCCTGCAGCCCCATTCCAATCTGGCAACCAGTGGTTCCCTGCCCCAAATCCAAAGTCAGCTTTGTGACTTGACAAACTTAGGCTGGCTCTTAGCAACTCAGAAATTTGTTGGGACTGAACTGACCAACAAAATCAGAAACAAGAAGCTTTTTGTATTAGGACTGTATCCCTTTGGGCAGGTTGAGAGCAATCCCACTTTTAATTAAAACACACACGCGCATTTGTGGATTTTATCAGAATGTTTCCACCAGATCAGGTGGATTTCTCCACTGCAAAGATCACTCTGCCATTTGGGAGTATCTTCGCCATCCCCTGCCCTACTCAAAATTAAGAAGAAAAACAGATTTGCTAATATTCAGCTCAATTCTTTGACATTTTCTGTGCTGCTACCCAAACAAATGAAGGCCCCACAGGACACCCCCCCCTTCCTTGAGAATTTAAGCTAGCTGTAACCTGTAGCTGAAAAGACACCTAAAAATACACTGTTTAAAAACATTCAGTGGTTTTATTTTCATCTTTAGCACAGCCTTAAATATCAAATCAGGTAAACAAGAACAGCAGCAAGCTGGAGCAACATGCTGCCCAGACAGCACGTGGGACTTTTTAAAAAAAGATTTCACATAAAAATCAGTGCAGAGTTAGGCTTCCTTGGACGAGGCAGGTGCTGAGGACAGCGGAGAAGAAACAGACACCAGAACCCAAGTCAGAATCTAAATGCAAGAAGTATGTCACAAGAGTCAACTCGGGAAATTAAGGGAGGTTTTGACTTTTAGGTAAGTTAAAAAAAAAAAAAAGAAAGAAAGAAACTCAAAGAGGAGACATGACATATACAACTCCACAGATAGCCAAGAGAGAACAACCTTGCTAAAAGTAACAAGCTGAGAAACTAAAGAGTGGCCCATCCATGCAATGCATAATTAGCAAAGGGTACTGACTGGCAGAAGGTTCAGTCACCGCCACTAGCCGGGTTGCATTAAGAAAGGATCTGGACAAAGGCAGGGCAGCTTCTAGCAGCAGCAGCAGCAACGGATGGAACGTCCATGTGCCACAGCAGAAGAGCTGCGGGGAAGAGACTTGGACTGGAAGTGCCATGCTTGGAGCCAGAGCAAGGGACCAGCCTGGCAGAGGCCAAGCCAAGGGATGGACCTCCGGCTATGGGCTCCTTGGGGGAGGCATCCTTCAGCTCCTGCTCTGCTCGAGAAACCCTGAAACTGGCCCTTAGTTACACACGGATTATCATCCAAATTTTCCAGAGCAGAAGAAAGTTCTCTGCCAACAGTGTTCACTGGTGTCCCAACAGCTTCTGTAGCCCTATAAGAAAGGAAGCTCACCACAGATGCAGAAAGGAGACCAAAAGCCTCTAGTCGAGATTCCATGTCAGTTCTCAGGAAAAAAAAGCCTTTTACAGGTTTTAATAGGCTTGTACATGCAAGCTATGGTGCCCAGGAGGAGAGAGCGAAGGAAGGAAAACTATTTTATTAAGCAGTTTGCATAGATTTTTTTTTAAAAAATAAATTAGCTTCTTAGCATCCACAATTTTTTTTGAAACAAATGAAAAAGGGAAGGGGAAAAGAAGTAGGTGATACTAACGTGTTTTCCCTTGTATTGTGCTCTCTGCCTCAGTATAAGTACATTAGTAAATGCTTAAGACACTGATAGATATCATAGAATTTCACAGTTCTGGGGCTGGAAGCAACATTTAACTATTTGCCCCAATCCAATAGTGCACACAGTTTTATGCAGGTTGCACTGGTGGGCTTTTGCCTGGGGATTGCATATGCATTGGGGTCACGGCACATGCATTGCTGACTTTTGCAGGAGACACATACAGTTGTTACAATCCACCCACAGCCACAGCTGCGTAGATCTTGTCTGGGAAAGGAATGGCTCTCAAAGGTCTCACTCTGCTTTGTCACCCCTTTTCCCCGTAGGGAACACAAGCTGCTCCTCCCAATTTCCTCACTTCCTCTCACTCCCATTCAAGGCTTCAGTGGCAGCAGTCCGCTGCTCCTAAGCTGTGGCCGTGCGTATGGGATTGCTGCTGGACTGATTCTCGACACGGAAGCACACGCCAATGCCCAGCCAATAATTGCCACAGGACACTCTGCATAGGGACTCCCAAAATGCAATAATAATTAGCTTGGACCCCGGAAAGTTGGAGGAGGAATGAAATGTAGCTGGAATCTAGAACTTGTTTTCCCACTTATGGTCACATAACAAATCCCAAAGAAAAAGGAAACATAAGTAAATTACTTACAAGCAGCAACATAATCAAGGTTATCAAATTAGGGCTGCCATAATCCAGAGCAGCACAGGATGGCAGCAAGATGCTAATTTCCCATCTCTCTCTGCTGCCATCTAGCGGTTTCCAGATATCTGCAGTTCAGGTAGGTCTTCCCCAGAAATAAAAAAGATTGACCCTGGTGCTTTGAGATCAGATGCACAAAACCTGTGCATTTCTCCCTGTTCAAGCCCAGCCCTGAATTCTCTGAAAACGGGTGAGGCTGTGCAGCAAAGAAAACAGAGTGTTACTCCGAACTGCGGGTTACCTAATCTACGTGTGGGAGGAAAAATCCCTGAGGAGGAGAGAGGAAGTCAAACCTTTTGAAAAGGGAATTATTTCCAAGTCAGCTCAGACCTGAAGAAAAGAACTAAAAGGTGTTTCTAGAATAAATCCTGTCCTGGCTAAAATGACAAATCAAAATTATGGAGGTTAAAGGGAAGTGTACCATCCCCAACACTTTCTCTCTCTCTTTCCAGAGCACCAGCGCCCTCTAGATCCAACTTCCTGGCTCGGAGCAGTGACCGTTGTTGTCCAGAGCCCGGGGACGGCGGCGTTCAAGGGGAAGCTGCAAGGGGACCACGCCTGCTCTCCCTACAAATCTGAAGGGAACGAAATACGCCGAGGGCCATACAACAAAAATACACATCAACAACTGTGGTGTCCATTTGCAGCCCTTCAAAAAAAAAAAAAAAAAAAAGGACAAAACCTATGGGCAGCCCTTGGTGTTATTTACTATGGAACAGTGAAAACACATTTTAAAATAAATATTGCAATAATGCCAATTTCATCTCCATCATCCCCAAAACATTATCCCACAATCTGCAGCAAAGAACAGCTGCTTGCACCAATGTGAAATACCGCCTTACAGAGATGTCTTAAACTCCTTCCAACCTAATTAGCTCTCCTTTTTTAATGCCATTTTTTATGTATTTCAATGCTCTGTTCCCCGATGAATAGGTAATATTTTGCTTATAAGCCTATAGACTGAACTATGTATTTGTAGATAGGTAAGGATTACCTTCGTTTGTTTCATTGTTACTTATGGTTTCAACCCTTTCCAGGGAGAAGAGAGGGCAAAGAGAAACTTCTCTTTAGTGGAGCTAATTATTTATTTCCATATTCTCTATTGCCCTAAAACTAACCAGCTTACAAGTTTCTTTTCCCTTTTTAATTTTATTGAGCTACATGCTAATCCTGACTTTTGTGCACCTGCCTTTTACCTGTTACAGAATTAGGATGTGAATCTGACTTCTGAATGTGGTCACTCACTAAGAAAACTCAGAGGGATGTAAAACGAAACCCAAAGGTAATTCCCCCTCCCCCAAAGGCTGTTGTAAGTTTGGAAAAAGAAGAGAAGGGCAAATAAATTTCTCAAACTCTTTTAAAAAGGGGAAGGAGGGCACCTGCGGCCAATTGGAAAATCCTATTGTGAGGCAGAGGTCACCAAAAAAAAGCATCCCTTTCCAATCCCCCTTCTGGAGGGATGATTCTGGAAGACTTGCTTGGGCATCTCTCCCTCTTAAGCCAGAGCAGAAAGTGCCACCCGTGGAAACACCAAGGGTGGGACTCTTCTTCGCCAGTTCCACCAGTGGGGGACCCCAGTAATTCTGCTTAGCAGAGTGCAGAGTGGGGAGCATCCACCAGGACACGAAGGCACCTGATGAGAGGCCACCTGTGCTGAGTCTTCCCTTCCTGACTCTCGGCTGAACCAGCACGAGGCGGACCGAAGCCACGGAGAGGCGATCCCAAGGGGACACTCTGCCTTCTTAAGCAGCGAGCAATGACCACAGAATGGGGAGCGAGATGACTCTGTCACAGGGAAGCACTTTCTATTGTAGGATCTTGCTGGCTGGACAAATCCTGCGGACCCTAACCCTCCTCTCTGCCGTTTCTCTGAACACAGGAAGAGCAGGAGGCACAAGTGAACCAATGGCTCTGACTTCAACCCGAGAGCCCTTTTAACCACCAGTAAATTCTCCACAGGCAAACAGTTTTGCAAGTAAACAGAGAGTAATGGCCACATTCGACATCCTCTTGAGTTCCACCTGTCCAACACAATGTCCACTGTGCTTCAGTATCAGTGATGGAAAAAGGGAACGAAAGAGGGCTGGGTTTACTGGTTGATGTGGCAAGGCCGTTGGCTGATGGAGTATACAGAGCATTGGGGCCAACTCTTCTGATGCCACAGAAGACCTGCTCCTGTCACCAAAACTGAAATGAGATTCAGCTCAAGGGGACAAGATGCAGAGTGTGTGGGGCCAAGACTTCTCCCAAAGGAGCGATGGGTGGCACGGGTGGCCATGGAACGCTTCAGGCTATCTCCTGCTGCACCAAAAAGATAAGAGGCAGGCCTGAAGATGACCTGGATTCACACATTCTGCCGACAAGCAAAACTGCATGACGCCTGTCACACTTTCTAAGCACACGGTGCCTGTTGCTGCTCGTGCGCTGCATCTGAAGGCCAGAAGCAGGGCTGAGGAAAGCAATGGGGCTCAGGGGGCAAAGTCAGATGGAATAAGAAATATCTGCCAAGGACTTAAGGGAAATGATGTTGTGAGGTACCTAAGCTTTAAGCCTGTGGACCAGATAACTGCCTGGGATCAAGGACCAAAGCTGCTTCCCCAGTTCCGGTCAAGAGCAGGGCAGAGCAGCCAGACAAGATCCAGGGAGACCCAGGAGGGACCCTGCTGAGGAGGCCATGTCCCCCTGGAGCCGGAGATGCAACCCACGTCTCCTGGCATTTGAGAGTGTGGTGCACCCGCAGGGCATTTGTACGGGAGGACTTCACTGTTTGGAAGCCATTCTTGGAAAGAGGTTCAGTGAGAAAACCACGGGCCCAAAACAGAACCATGCTGCTTCTGAAAAATTACGCTCCAAGATGCTGTCTCTAAGTTGCTGCACTTCGGACACGAAGGACGTATTGAAATAGGCTGCCTTGAAGTTGGAAGAGAGGAATGGGTGACATTATAAATGTGGGGGAAGTGAGGAAAAAACTGAGTTGGTGAAGAGTAAGGATTGAGTAACAGCCGGAACCCGGGAAGCATCCAGTGCTACAAATGCAAGCGGCACATCCGCTCCCCAATGTCTGCACCCTCCTGCTGGCTGCCCTGCGCCCCGTTTTCCCGAGAGGTCGCCCCACCGCTTGCCTTCACATCAGGCTCCTCCTGCACTGAGGCGGCTGCCGCAGCCCCCCCAGAGGCGTAGGGGGCGAGAGCCGAAGTTGTTGGTAGAGGCGCCTCAGTTCTGTCACCTCCTGCAGCACTTTCTGGGCTTGGCTCCAGTAGGAGGAGGCCTCGCCCAGCAGCCTCTGGATCTCCTGCAAGGCGGCCTCCGAGTCCAGCCTGGGGGAGGGGGAGGCGGGGGCCACAGGAGAGGCGCAGGCGAGCTCCGGTGCCTTTTGCGCCTCTCCCCCGTAGCCCTTCGCTTCCGCCAGCAGGCCCTGCGTCTTCTCCAGCTGCAAGGCTACCAGCTCCTGTATCCTGGCCAGCTGCTCGGGCTCAGGGGAAGCCCCTCGGTCCTTGAGTCCGCTCCTCAGCCACGCCTGGCCAGCTGAGGAAGAGTCCCAGCAGGAGAGGATTTCTTCCATAGAGGCACATTTGTTCTTCTCCAAGGGAGAGAGCTTCTTGGGGACCTGAGGGGTGTACATGGCCCCTTTGCCAAAGGCCTCCCTGTGAGTGGAGAACTTCTCCCCAGTCGTGTCCTTCCTCCGTGGGAGACTGTTTGTCTTGCTCTTCTCCTTGATGGTCTCTGAATCTGAGCGCCTCCGGCCAGGGGTGAAATGAACGGCTGATTTGTCCAGGTCCACCCGGAAACTCTTCTCACAGGTGTCGAGGTCTTCTGGGGAGGCATCCTCCTCCTGGATCAAGTCCAGGGTCAGCATCCCATCAGAGGTTGAGGTAGATGTCTGCAAAGGCAGGAGAAAGGCAGGGGAAATTGGGGGGCGGCGGGCGGAGAGAGAGCATGTGTGAAAAAAACCAAGTCTCCAGGAAGGGTGGAAAGAATCACAGAAAAGGGATTTGGGTAAAAAACTATGTGTTGGTATTAGTTTGCATATCCTGTACAGTCTGTACAGCTCCAGACAGGTATGGTTGAACCCACAGGGCTGGAATGGGGGAAGCTGAGTGGGCAGAAGCGGACATGGGCTTCCCGTGACCCGCCTGGCCTTTGGTGACTCAAAGGGGGCCCGTGAAGAGGAAAGGCGCACCCGGCCCCGCCTGAACTCCTGGGAGAAAAGCAGACTGCGCAGGCAGCTATGAGAAGGGGAAGCAGCAGCAGTTCGGGCAGCTTCGCCGGCTGAATGGGAGCCTGCTCCCTTCCCCCTCCTGCACTCACCACAGCCATTAAGTGGCCTCTGGTCGGAGGCCGCCTGGAGTGCTGGATCTTTGCTCTGTTGCGAGTGGGGTGGGCGAGGAAGCTCTCCTCCTCCACTGTCACCTGAGAAGCCACAGGAACACCGTCAGCAGCCAGAATATGAGGCACACAACACACCTAGCGTAAATGATTCCCCCCTCCCCCGATCCATCAGACTGCAGCTCTCTCTGGCCTCTTCCTTCATTTGGCATTTCTTTGGGAAGTTTTCTTCCTCTGATAGAAGCCCCAGGCTCAAGGAAAAAGCATTTTGCCAGTTCCCTATGTCGGCAAGAAGAAAAATTAAATATATTCCTGAATAAAAGCAGGAATTTGCATCTCCAAACCATATTCTCCCCCATCTAGTTTATCCCCTCTTAAGCCATTTCTGTAAGCTGCCTGGAGCTCCCGCCTGCCTATCCTGGCCCCAGCCTCTTTCTCTCCCCCCCCCCCTTATCTCTCCCTCTTTGGCTTTGCGGCTTTGGAGGACGAGTCCCCAAGCCAGCAGCAGGTCTGGTTTTGTCATTTGAACCACAAGAGAAACAACCAGGAGGGAACATTATCCAGCTTCCCTTCTTCCCGCTCTGGTTTGAACAACCCCTAAAATGATCTCTCTCACCTTACCATGGAAAATCAACCACCCCTTCATTTCTTCTGCTCCTCCTCTACAGACCCAAAAGTGGTCCCTTTTCTAAATTTAAACAAAAAAAAAAAATCTACTCCGTTGCTCTCTATTGTTCCCTCCCCCTTTATTTTCTCTGCGCCCAATTTTACTTTAGATAGGAAACCCTTTGACCATTCACAGATCCGAACGGGGCCTCATACAGCACTGGCACCATCTCCCTGCACCTCTCTCCTCTCTCCTCTCAGTCTGCAGATCTGGCAAGAGGATTAAAAGAAAGGGGAAATCTCTGCCACTCTCCAGTTTTTCTTCTTCTTTCTTTACAGAATAGTGAGACCCAGAATGAACTCAAAAGTTAATAGCGCTCCTAGCCACGTAAGACAGATTACGACAAGCAGGGAGGCCAACTTGGGCCTTCTGCCACCTTTAACCCGGACACTTGAGAATGGAGACTCCACTGCCAGACCCCCTTTCGAGAAAGGTCTGGAACCCCCAACGAATGGGGCTGCGGGCTGAAGAAAAACAATTCTGGGTGAGCCGCACCTGCCACAAACAATTCCCATGACTGACTGCAAGCAAACCCAAAGGGTCGGGGTCTCTCTCTTGAGCTCCTCCTGCTCTGCCCCAGGCGGGGACTCGGAAAGGGCCATGGAGCCTGTGGGTCAGGACAGGCCGATCCAAGTGCCAGACTGCTCACCTCGTCCAAGATGCGGTTTTTGGCCCGGATTATGGCAGAGTTGAGCACATTGATCCAAGACTCCTTTTCTTCGGGGCTCACAGCCAGGAAGACGAGATTGGGTGCCTGAGAGAGAGAGGGAAGCGTCATCGGCAACCAAGGAGAGGCGTACCCGTCTCGCCTGGCCCTGTCCTTCATAAATTCAGTCAAAGGTAACACCTGCAGCTTTGTGTTGAAGGAGGAAACAGTGGCTTCCTCTCAACTGCTGTCTGACGACCCACCTGCAACCGCTTATCCGGCCATCCCCAGAGGCGCTGGGCCTGCAGTGCCCGTGGGCAGTGGGAGCCCAGCAGGTCCAAGGCATCTGTCACGTTTATATCAATATGATGCACACGTAAATAAAACAAAATAGATCTGGGGCACCAGATAGGGAGGCTGCTCTAAGCAAGGACACGGTGGCCTGCAAGACCCAGTGAAAAGACCAGGGATGGGAGGACTGAAACACTCAGCCCACAGACGGTTGGGGGGGGGGTGTTGCTCTGTTCTTGGAGAGGAAGTGGGACCGGCCAGCAGTCGGGTAGTGAGCTCAAGGGGAGCCAGCCGCCTGAAGGTCCCCTTGGGCTGTATCGCTTCACAGCCTAGATGTGAAACTGCTGTGAACAGACAGAAATTGCTGTGATCCCTTCCTAATCAGAGGAAATACTATCCAAATTCCTACTGACAGCCCAAGAAGCAGAAAAAGCAGCCAGGCTGCCTCAGTCTGAATAGCAAACACGGTTGTGGAAGGGAAAGAGAAACCCAGACAGGTTGCAGTTCAGCCCTCGGGTCTGGGATTACGTGCTGCTGCGTCACTCCCTGAAGAAGCTGGCTGAGCCAGGGGCTCCTCTGTTGCTCCCTTCTGCAGGATCTCCAGGGCCTGGAAGGAGAGAGAGGCTTCCCAGGCTGGCCACCCACCTACCCCCAACAGAAGCCAGAGCTCTTGGTACCCCAAGCAGGGGCTTGAATGCTCAGCCGGGAGAGAGGGAGGGAGGGAGCTTACTGTGTTGCCAGGCTCCTTGGAGTGGGCGAGGGAGAACTTGCTATAGTTTTTTTTGCTTCTGCTTTTGGACTTCCTGAGCTCCTCACAGTTCTCGTAATCGTTCAAGTCAAACACCTCCTGGATGTTTTTCTCATCTCTGAGCTGCAGACAGACCACAGATTTACAAGGGCATGTGATGGTATCTAGATTAAAAATGCTTTCACTCACTCACCCACCATATCAAAGATATATGGAGAATTCTAAACACAGCATGAAAACACAACCCCTCCCATTGAATTTTGACAGCCCCTCCAAATCCACAGAACAGCAGGATTTTTTTCTGGGACAAGGGAACAGACGCTACCTGGTTAGCAATAAATCCTACAGATTTGCAACTGGGGGAAAAGAACACACACGCTAATTAACCTAGGAATGGTAAGTGGACAGGAAATCTGAACTGCCTGCCTAGTAAGGTTTAATGGGGTTTGAGCTGGTATCAAGTTTGCATTAACTAAAAGCTTAAAGGAGGACAGTTTTAAGTCACGTGGGCTGCATCACAGACAGCACCACTATCCTGGCGGGGTCCTGCCTCTTCCCGGGCAGGAATGAAGGAGAGGACGTTTCTCCCCAGCGTTATAATTAGTACCAGCACTAAAAACAATGAGCGTTTTTCCCTTTTGTTTTTCAGAGTAAAAGCAAAAATTAAAGCTTCCATTGGGAGCCCATTTTCTAAAGATGTGCTGCACAAAACTCCATGACAGTCCTGCACAGGGCAGCCATCAGGGGGATGAGAGGGGCCACTCCAGGGTGGCCGGGGCAGAATCGGATCCATTCCAGGCTGCACAGAGACCAGCAGGAGCTCAGCCTCTCCCCCCCCTCGCCCCCACCAGCCCCTTTCCGTCTGATGGGCGGCCTGCCTGCTATCCGATGACTTGCAACCGGACCCAGCTTGGCTCATCCCCTGCCTGCATGGTTAATGCTGCCTCCCTTCCCCTACCAGCCAAGCCCTTGTTCGGGTTCAGGGCAAATCTAAGCAATTCTTTTGGCCTCGGCCCGGGCCCAGGAGCTGAGGTTCGGCTTGGGTGGATGGCTGGTTATTGTGAGTACGCTAAATAACAGGTAACAAATTATGTAAGTTAATAATACAGTATTAGCTCATCGCCATCTATTGTCCCACAGGCCGCCCGGCCTCTCCTCCGCCTCCATTGTCTGCTCAGCCCAGCGTGCTTACCTCAAAATGGGAGGCAGCGGGGAGGGGGCAGAGGCCTGTCCATTTCACCCTTGTGTTATTCCTTAAATGTGTGAAGCGGAACAAATGGGAACTGAGAAAAAAAAGCAACTATTTTCTGGGCCTGGGTAAATCTGATGCCAGGAAGGACAGGTCCGAGGAGAAGGATGAAAGCTGAAATAGATCACAAATTGCATCTCTTTCTTACCAGAAGGAAGCAGACTTTGCTTCCTCCTCATCCAGAATTAGGATCAGTGTGAAACTTCCAAGCAATGTTTGAGCACCAAAAGTTTGTATTAGAAAGTGGCTATCGCAAAGAAGAAATAGCAACACAAACCTGACATCAGAGAACAAGTTTTTAAGCAACAGACATTCGGGGACACTCGTTTTAATAAGAGCCAGTGGAAAAACAATTTGCATGTAACACGTACTTTGCCCCAAAGCCACCGAACGGAGAAATCCTAAAAACAAATATGCAAAATTCACCTCAGGCTTCCCGAATGCCAGAAAAGGGAGATATGAAGACAGGAGGCCCATCCCTGTTGGTCAACTGCCATGGAAACCCTCCCAGCCTTGAGGAGGAGGAGTAGAGAAACCAGGTTCCTCTGGCAGCTGAGATAGGCTATTGGCCTTGTTCAAAGATCTGCGAGTTCATTTCAAGGGAGCTTGTTGAGGGATCTGGGATTCTTGGCCAAAACCCACCTGGGTTTGCAACCTATAAAGGCATGGCTGTTTCTGCAAGCAGGCATCCTGACCCTGTTTGCAGCAGCACAGCCCCAGAGTTGGCAATCAGAACAACCCCCTGCCCCCAAATAGTGTCCAAAACCCTACACAGAGGCAGGGATGGCCTCCTAGATGCTGACCACAAGCCAGTCAGTTCAGATAGGAAGCAAAGTTCGGACTTCACGGAGGAGAAAGCCACTGACCGATCCAAGCCCTTCCTCCTCTCTGTGGGACTGGCTCCATCAACAGTCCCCTAGATTGTGGGCCTCCCACAAAACACCTTCCCAGGGAGGGCAGTCCATTGCTGGGACTGCCACCCATCCCCCCTTGACCCCAACCTCTCTCCCCCCCATCTCACCACATCTCCTTGCAGGCTCCAGCCTGGGCCACAAGACCTGAACCCCAGGAATGAGCTCCTGGCAGGTTCTGACCAGATCAGGGTCAAAGGAGCATTTTGCCAGTGAATTTGAAGTCAAGCTTTCAGGGCAATGAAAAGGCAGCCCCTCCTGCAGGAAAGTGAAGCCCAGCTGACGGTCTCTCTTCCAGCTCAACTTCCTCTTTCACCCACCAACTAGAATTGCAGAATTCAGCCACCCAAACTGCTGGGGGGGGGGGGGAGGAAAGAAAGCAAAGGAAAGGCTTGTCTAAAGAAGCAGAATGTGAGCAACCTCTTACCAACCTCCTTCTCCGAGATGTAAAGTTGGTCACCCTTCAGCACCACAAACCGATTTTTCCAAATCTCCCGAAAAATGCCTTTCCCACAGAATTTTCGGACCCAGCCCACCTTCTCAGGCTGCAGCAGTTGCTGGTTCCCCTCCTGGAACCCCTGCAGTCCAAAAAGAAGGGGAGCAAAGGATGGCGGGGGGGGGGGGGAGCAAGTGGGAGAGGAGAAAGGCAGGAGAGAAGCGGTTAAGGGGAGGGGATGTCGTCTCTGGCCTGCCCCCTGCTAGCAGCCTTCCCCTGGCCCAGAACATCGCTGGCCCTGGCCCTTCCCCAAAGCACCTGGGACTCTAGCAACAGCACACACAGATCACCCTAACACAGTGCATTGGTTTTTTTTTTTTTAAAAAAAAAAACACTACCACAATTACAAAGCAGATGAAATGATGCAAGGTGAATAAATAAATAGAATCAAAACAATGCTGCCACCTGCTTTATATAAAGAAGTAGGCTGGAATCAATCTGGTCTTGGCCCAATCAGCATTTAATAATTGCAATGATAGAGCCTTCTCCTTGAGAAATTCAGACTAAAACCGTATCTTTCACAAGGCAAATGTTTTCCATTTTCACTCTCTCTACATTTCTAATCACACTCTCTTCATCTAGGGAAGGGAAATACATGGAGGAGGGTTTTTAAATTAATGCAAACAGAGCTTTAATAATGGAGATCCTACATTTGGGGACGGCATCCATCGCTTGAAAGGCTGAACAATCAGAAAGCAAAGACAAGCGGATTTTGGGGTGGGGGAACGAAGGGATGGCTGGAAAGTTGGAACAAGACTGGCTCACCCTGAGGGCCCCCATCGCCCACAGACCCAACAGAGAAAGTGGACAATAACAATGCCAGGAAAAGGCCCCCGGGGGAGAGGGGGCTACCCAGAAAGCAGAAAAGGACTCACCCGTTTAGCCGAATTGGTTTTTTTCATCATTCCTCAATGCAGCTGTCCAGAGGAGGAAAGGGAAGGGGGAGAGAGGGTATGTGGGAGGGGGGGCAGGGTCTTTGCCGGGCAGAGAATTGAAGATCTGTGCAGTTATTGGGAAGGGGGAATCTCTCCTCCTTAAGGGAAGCACAAAGGAGCTCCCATGACCTGGAGGCAGAATTTGCCTCTGTGATGCCCACACATATTTGCAGGCAGAGGGACCCCCAGAAACCCCCTCCCCTGCTCCGTCTCTCCCTCCTCCTCCTCCTCCTCCTTTCTCTCGCCTGGGCATGGAAGGAAAGGGTTCTTCTGGGCTCCACAGCACCATCTAGCCGTGACGTTTCCACAAGGAAAGAGGCAAATGAAGCTGGGAGGGAGGGACGGAGGGAGGAGACCCTTTCTTCTTTGTTTGAGTCAGTTGGCTGGGAAGAGAGGAGAAGTCAGGGAGGAACGAAGCAGGATCAGGAAGGCTGAAGGAACCCCCCCCCCACACACACACACCTCCCCGGGACACACACAAGGCAGGCAAAGCAACACAGGCACAGACACGCTTGTTTTGTACAGTCCTTCCTGAAATAGGTTTACGCTCCTCCAGCGACCTGGCACAGCTCTGGGAGAAGACCAGGGTCCTGCTGAGAGAAATACTTCCATTTGGTGAACTTGGTTAGGCGCCCCAAGCTGTGGCACCCAACCAAAGTCTTCAGCGGGCAACAGGATCCATAAAGTGACAAAGGCGAAGAGAGAATGAAGCCGCATACAAAGGACACTGGGACTCCAGCGGGCCTCGGAGAAGATGGCAGCCCACTGCTCTCAACATGGTGCCAAAGGCCCCGGGAGCCCAAGAGGCAGGCAGCCGCTGGTGGGGCTTCAGGAGTGCTGAGTGAAGTGCCGGGCGGTTCGGTTATGTAAAGTGAGAGAAGATCCTCCAGACAGGGCTGGCTGTTGGCACGACTCAAAGAGGAACCGGCAGCAGGGGCACCTTGACACGTGGAAGTTCACTCCCTTCCAGACCTGCCTGGGCAGACGGGCACAGACCCCGTAGCCAGGACCTGCGCCACCCCCCCCCCCCGGGGTCTCCCACCAAACACCCTCTCCCCAAGCAAAGCATCTTGGACTCACTTCCAGCTTAGCATGATTTACCAAAATGGCAAAGGACTCTCTTTGTTCCACGTCTGCTGCCAACATTTCCCACCGTGGCTGACTTATTTTAGCCGTTCGTTCATTGTATCTTGCCTGCCAATGCCCAGGCCGACAGCTGGCTGGGTGCAGCTAGCAGGCTCAACGTTTCTGAGTGGCAATTATTGTGGTGATTCTCCAACGGGTCATTGCCTCATTGCGTATCTGAGCCAGAGGGCCAGCACTACCTGGCAGGCCTGGAGGAACACAGGCCGGGTGCTGTTTTTCCCCACATCCACATCCTCCCTCTTCCTCTCTGTCACACACACACACACACAGTGTCACAGATCTAGAGAAAGCCTTGTCACACCACTCTCAGCCACACTGAAACCCAGTGGAGAAACTGAGGTCAGGGAGAGCTAGATCCGATTCAGAGCAGGATGGCAACCATCTTCAGTTATTTTGGTAAGAAGCACAAAGAAGCCTTGCTTGCTTGCCTGACGACGCAGCTTGGGGGAAGTGTCTGGGGAGCTGCCATGTGTCCGTGAGGTCCAGGCTCCAGGCTCACCAGCTATTTACCTGCAACGGCGTCCCTCCCAGAGTCCTGGCGTAGACACAGCAGCCGCTCTTGTGCCTTTTCTCCTGGCAGGACTTGCGCTCCAGAGGCGTCCCTGGGAGGGCAGAGTGACAACCGCAGAGGTTCACATCTACCCTGGAACAAGGCCCTGTGAGCGTGCACCATGGCTGGAGTCCTTGTCCCAGCCATTATTATACGTAAGGAAGAAGACACAGACCAGGGTTGCCTGCGGACGGAAGATGCACAAAGGAGAGTCCCACCGCACTGCTAACCCCTGGGCACAAGTGGGCTGCCAGCGAGACCACCCATTGCTGAGTGGGAAAGAGCTTCGGTGAACCGTCGGTGGAAAGGCCAGGTGCCTCGTCTCAAGTGGTGGCAGCACAGTCCTGCGCAAGCAGAGAGTACACCGTGGAACACGGGCCGGGACAAAAAGATGGAGTGGCAAAACATGGGAGGTTTAGTTCTCAGTCATGTGACCAAAAGAAAGGGCTTACTTATTTATTTAAATTATTCGTAAGCAACCAAATTCTGGGCAGCTTGCAACAGGAATAAAAGGCAATTCAGGTATTTGTGACTTGCAACCGTTCATTTAGTGACGGTTCAAAAGGCACTGAAACAAATGACATTTTTCACACTTAACGACTGTTGCGGCAACTGTCTTACTTAGCAACAAAAATTTTGGGCTCCATTGTGGTCGTACATCGAGGACCACCTGTAAAAGCCCAAAAGGAGAATCCTGTTTCTTGCCTCCGGTCCCTCCAAGAAAGCCTCCTCCGGCCTGGGGGAAAGAGCTGCCTCTCGACTGTCTGCCAGAGGGGTTTCCCACAGTCCCTGGGCCGGCCGTGGACAAGGAGGCTTTGGGGCCAGGGGCCTTTTCTGATCCTTGGGGACAGAGACCCCACAGAAGACCTGGCAGCACCTCCTCCTCCCTTCCCTCCAGGTCTCCGTTCCCGGCCAAGAAGGGTCTAACTTGAAAACAAGCTGCTTAATTAGGTCTAATCATTAACACTCAAAATTCCACTTCTGATTACAGCTAATCAAAAAAGAAGAAATGTTGCATCAGAGAGAGAACCTAACCTGCTCAGACTGGGAGTTGGGCCCACGAGGGGAAGAACAGGACTCCTTGAGGCCGAGTGATTTCCTTCCCGCCATCTTGTCTTCCTGCAGCGAGCATCCTAGGGCAGCTCCCACAGAAGCCCTCGCAGGAAAAATCGGGTCTTAGCCACAAATAAGCCACATTGATGGCTTCTTCTTCTCAAATCTATTAGTCTCAGGAGGTGGGTGTTTCACCCACACACTCAACGACCAATAGTTAACAAGAATTCTGGTTTAAGCTTTGGCCCCCGGAGCGGGACCCCAGCGCCCCTCAGTGCTGGCTCTCCTGGAAGTTCCAGTCCAAGGACAGCAGAAGGGCCAACTTCACCACCTGAAGCATCGGACTGACCAGGGGCCAAGTACTGGGAATGCTTAAAAACCCTCCAAGGCACCTGTCAACGCTGCTAATATTGAATATTCTTGCTTTGACAATATATGCAGAACTGTCTGGTATGTTTAGAGTTAAATCAGGTGACAGGGAAAGGGGAGGAGAATATAAGGAAAGGGGGGGGGGGAGAAAGGAAGTGAATCTTTGCCCTCCAAGTTAATTGGAAGATGTGAACCATGACCCCAAAATAGGGGAGGGGAAATGCCTGGAATGTTATGTGCAAAGGAAGGGAAATTCAGATCTTAGCACTTCCACAATGCCATGCTGACATCTCTGTAACGCTAATAAAGGCTTTTTAGGTTAAATAAATGCCTGAAAGTTCTTTGAAATGTTTCGTTAATCAGACACATGACAGCACCCTGCTGATGCCAGAACTAACGCAAGGGAAGTACAAATTAAAGGGGAGCATGAAATAGAAGCCTGCAAGCTTCTAATCGCCCCACACAGGAACATGCAGAACTTAGAGAAATAGGAGCAAATTGGAAATACAAAGAAGTATGTAAAAATTCAGCCCTGCAGTTGAGAGGGTGCCAAGAATATTCTGGGCCCTCCACAGCAAGCTGCACTGTGCTCTTTAGCAGGTCAGATGAAGCCACGGGGCAGAAGAGCTCCATCCCCCCACGGCCCCCCACCCTCTGAGGTCTTCAGGAGGCCTCAACAGTCGCAACCCCATTCTCTGGCCCATCGGCCAGCCTGCAGCGCTTCCAGAGAAAGCCACTTGTTTAAAAAAGAAGCCCAGATGGTCTCTCTCTCTGCCATAAAAGCACAGCGTCCTTTTATTGGAGTTCATGGGGGACTCAGCCCAGGAGGCAAACAACAGGCAGAGAAGTGACCCTGAAAGGGAGACCCGAACAGCAGACTGTGCAGTCTTCTAAAGAAGCAATTGGGAAGGCTCCTACGCATTCCTGTGCAACTCTTCAAAAAATTATCTAAAGGAGAGTGAAGGGGGGGGGAGAGAGAGAGGGAGGGAGAGAGAAGAACCATAGCCTCCATCCCATCTGCGCTGGCTGGCTATGGTACGTGAAGGGAAACCTGAAGGTGGCCTTCTGCAGCACGTTGGACAGATTTCGATCTGAGATGGCTAGGAAGGAGCCAATGGCAGTGCTGCCTCAGTTCAGCCGCCTGGCTGCAGCCTGGGCCATCCCCTGCGAACTCTCTGTGCCCCGTCCTCGAAAGCCAGCAGCAGACACTTCTTCCAGGAAACTGGGGGAAGACCGAAACACACCAAGGAAGAATTAAAAGAAAAGGAGCGTTTCTCACCGGCTGTCTCCAAAGGCCAATGTCTGGGCTGGGCCAAGTGAGCAGGATTTGGGTCAGAGAGGGCACACGGGGCCAAAGGCAAGTAGACCGAAAGCAGGAATGAGGAGGGTTTTGCACTGAAGCCGAGAACCAAGGAAGGAAGGTAGGACTTGCCAAAGGGGACACAGACCAGGCTCTTCCGGGTCCTTCCCCTCATCTGGGGACTCCGCATGGTGCAGAGTGAGCACACCAGACTTGGGTAGAGGGACAAGGAGCAGAGGAAGGAGGGAGGGAGGGAGGGCGAAGGGTTTGCTCCTTCTCTGCTCCTGTGAACGTGAGAAGAGCCCCAGTTTCTACCTGCTATTCTCTCCAGGACAAAGCCAGGAAGTCCCTTTGCTCCCCCCCCCCTGCCCACCTCTTTCTCCCCACCATTCTCATTCCTCAGGAAACTCCCCCTGAAAATGTCTCATCAGGAAGCAAAGGTCAAACCCACCAGGGACCTTTGCCCTGAAAGCAGCAGAGGCCACCGCTGACCTCAGCTGCTTTTCACCAACTTCTACCACTTTCAATCAGCTGGTTGTGTTGCAGGGCAATTTTTCACACCCAAGTCACTCCTGTGATTCAAAAGCACACCCAAGCTCAAAAGCTGCCTGCTGACTTCTGAGAGTTCAAAGGAGCTTTGCTTCTGGGGTTGTTGTAGGGCTATGTGGTAGGGAGGTGAACGTCTCCCACACCTGCGGATTCACAGAATTCAGGTGACTTAATTGTAAAAAAAAAAACCCCACGCACTCACACTCACACGGGTGCGTGTGTGTCTGCAGGCTTGTACGTGTACTTAAGCGGGAACTGAAGAAGCTGCTGCCCAGGCAACAGGGTTTCTGCTACCAAACTCAAGACCTTCCCTTCCCCCCTCGCCTCTTATAACTTGCTGAACCGATTTCTGCCCTGAGCTGGAAACTTGACAGAGTGACCTTCTCTAGGAGATGGATCGGCTGCCTCAAAGAGGTGTGAATACAGAAGCTGGTAAGATATGCGCTGAGAGGAACATTTGTTTAAAGCCTGCGGTTACACACCGGGGAGATATCAGAAAGAAAAAACAGTTACTGCAAGAGGACCGAAGGTTTGCCTCCCAGAAGGACTAGAGCAGGTGAAAAGGCAGGCAGGCAAAAACGGTTTATTCTACGTGCTGAAGCAATGGGCTACGAATCCCATCATTCCTTGAAAGGGTGATGGTGACGATTTAAATCCACCTACTGTGCCTTAACCCAACTCCCACCACTAATACTTTAGTTCTGGTGAACGAGAACCACTCTGGGCCTTCTGATTTAACTTGCTCGATTAGAGTTCTGGGGTTCTCTGGATGGTTCGTGCCATCAACCCTGCAAGGGGGGGAGGCAGCTAAAGGAACTATTTTGGAGATCCTGGGACTTTCCTCACCTTCGTTATTGTCTCGGGAGGGAAGGGGGGTGTCTGTTGGTTTGGGGACTAAGATTAACCAGGCGGCAAGAACACACAGCTGGTCCAGAGGCAATCACTGGGCTCCACCTAACCGGTCCTGCACTGGTCACTACCTTTAAACCCCACTCACCCCCCCCCCCACGTTCCCCAGCAAGTCCCCTGCTGAACATTTTGCACTTAGGCCAACGTCTGCCATCCACACATTGCCATTACAGCCCTGCTCTTGAAATCTTAAAAACAAAGGTGGTCTTTCGAAGTACTGTGCCACGGAAAGGTAACTGAGGGCCACTGATTCAGTCCCCAGCAGTTGGGAAACAGCCCCTTTTTGGAATCCTGGCCTATTCCTTGGTCCCCAAGATCACCAGACGAGATCTGGATAAATGAGCCTGGGAGCCCCACCTTTTAAAAACAGGAGACTGTTCATTAGGGGCTCTTCTGCAAGGAAAACATCTCCCAGGAGCCATGAAAGTAACCCTGTTGTGGAGGAGTGCCTGAAGAAGCTCTAAAAGGCCCCTCCTCCCTCTGAGACAGGCCTTTCCTTCTTCCAGGAGCTGCCCTTTCCGAGGGAAGGAGAAACAGGCGTCAAAGGGGGGGGGGGAGGCCACTTCTTCTCTGTGGAGCCACACCTCCTGGAAGGAGGAGGAACGGCTATGGTGGGCTGCCTGCTGGCCATCCGACTTGTGGGGCAACGAACACCCTGGGAAAAGGCCGAGTCTGCCTTTCCATCCGGGAACTCTCCACAGAGAAGTCAGCTACAAACCCCACCCCCAACCCTTCCGTAGGATTCGGCGTGATGCCCCTGGAAGCCGCAGGTGGGGAAAATCAGGTGAAACCCAGCAGCGCCTCTTCTCAGAACCGAGTGCCAGAAGGCAGCGCCCGCCCACAAGTGAATCTGGAGCAGAACTACTCAACTCTGGTAAAGCCCTTGCACCCCTTCCCCCCCCCCCAGAAATCCGGGGCAGTGAAAACTAGAGCTTTGCCAGCGTTCACTGATTAAGGGAAAGGACGGCTCTGCCCCACCTTCAACTCACCTCCTTGTGTTGTGCACCGTTGTCCCCCCCAGCACGATCCGGACACCAGGGGTGGTGCGGTTCAGGTTGTACACCGTCAGCGCCTCCTCATAAGTTGCCCCACCAATGATGAAGACGATAATGTCTTGTGGCCTGCAACGAACACGGAGAGAGAGCTCAGAAAAGGGCAGAAAGGGGACAAGTGGCTGCCCTCTTAGCTGGTGAGCACCACCCTGACCCAAGAAACTCCTTTGGAAGAATTGGCCCACTGGCGGTTCCCGTTCTGGAAGCTTCTCTTGCAGCTGCATGACCTCTTGCCCTCTGACCAGGCAAGGCTTGGTGGACAAAGCCATCTTTGCAGAGGCTTGCCTGTCAGCGTTTGCACAGAGCTGCTTTTAAAGGCCGCTACTTGGGAAATGCTGTTCGTTTAGGGCCGGGCCAGGCTTTGCCTCCAACACTGCCGAAATATATATGCGGTTCCAAGCAAAGCCGTACCTTGTAAATTTAATACTATAAAATGATATAATTCTAATTTTGTCAGCCACTTTAATGTCTCCGTAGTTATGGTTCCTAACGGTCCAATAATTATGGGGAGGGGGAAATTTTCCAATTTATTCCGTAACCTTGGTATTTCAGTTTTCAAAAAGCAGTATTTTACAATCCATGAGAGGGCTCCACAATCCCTCCTGTCCCAAACTAAGGTGGACTCATCTCCTTAGCCCGCGCTTCCTCCATTCAGGCTTCCCTCCTGCAAGACAGGCAGGGAGGAGAGATGGGTGTTGTAGTCCCTCACATCGAGAGAATGCCACGGTTCTAGCAACAGCATCTCAATTAAGGAACCATTAACATTTCATACCTTAAAAAAACCTCAATGATCATTGCAAATACTGAATTCAATACCTGCCCTATCGAATTTGGCCCTCCGGAGAGTCTAAATCAACCCTGTATGAGCAAAAGGATTTCCCCTCCCCTCCCCAAACACCTGATGTCTGTTACCTGTCACGTAGGCTGCTAGGGCCCAGATATGGATACTGGTTGTCTTTCAGTTTACCCTTGATGAGCTGATCCAGAGTCTCATGCAACAAAGGTTGGTGCTGCGTGTACACATTCTCAACCCCCTAATCAGGAGGAGACATTTAGAATGAAAAGAGGGAATTCAGCCCCCATCTCAGGGGCTGATGAAATTCACTGCATTTTTGCATTTTCATATACAAACATAATCCTTCTTCACTGCATATTTATTGCACAGGCATCCATTTCACTTGGCTCTTTCGTAAGCCACCCCCATGCCGAGTAAGAACGCAACTATAACTATAATACAGATATAGCTAAGAATTACAGAAAGAAAAATACCTTCAGCCCTTTGAGGAACTGTTTGGTAATGGCCATTGCATCCTTTGGGCCGAAGAGGTCACTTGATTGAACCCATTTCCCTCCGTATTCGGTAATGGCAGGCACCAGCTATTCAAGAAGGGGGGGGGAGGGGAGGATCACTTTTAAGGCTTGAATACGGCCTGCAGGTTTCCACAGAGATTTCAAGAAGCTACTGACTTTAGCCAAACCCAGAACCACCAAATCCAGCAAGCTTCCTCCCTTAGGCCGTTTACCTTGCGAAGCCTCTCGGAAACACCCCGGTTCTTGAGATCCAGCATGAGGCCTGGAAGGCTGTTGCTGCCGTGTCGCTCGTAACGGAGGGCGTAGAGCATCACCAGCCGGACAGCATCCAGCTCGGTCACCCTGGGGTTCTGCAGGAGGCGTCGAATGCTCTATGGAGTGAGAAGAGGGCTGCCGCTCTCAAGACTGCCCAGGACCTTAAGCAGAGCAGGGAGGCCGCGTCTCAAGAAGATAAGCTATAATTTTTCCTATTCCTCAGAAATTTCCAGTGAATATGTAACAACGAGTCAATCTTCCAATAAAATTTAGATAGACTCCGATTAACAAAATAGAATTCTAAGGAGAAATATATGTTACATGAATTATTTCTATAGTTATATCTGATAAGATATTTACGAGTAGAGATATAAATATACAAACTGCACTGAAATGTAAAAAAAAAGAAATGATGAAATTAAACACCCTGCCTGTCCACCGATTTGTGCGATGCTGGCAACGGCACTATTTTCAGGCAAGACCAATTTCTGTTCTTAAAACCATCCCCAAAGGCAGCGGCTACGGCAGCTGCGATATAAAACTCAGTATCAATGGCACCAACCCTTCTGCTACGAAGGGCACCAGCCAGCCAGTCGCAGCCTTCGACATCCCAAAGGGAAGGGAGGGAAACCGGAGGATCTGCAGCAGGGGAAGGCAGGGCCTGGAGACCCGGAGCCCTCCAATCTTCCCACTTGCTGAGCCTTGACCGGTGAGGGCGATTCAGGCAGAGGAGAACACCATCAGGATACGTTTCTCTCACCCCTGAATGACCACGGTGGGACCCAGTGAAAAGAGCCCCTTCCCATTCGTGGCTAACACATATTGGCTTATCGTGACAAGGGAGCACCCGGACTTCCCTTGGAGCGCGGGAAGCAGCAGCAGCAGCACGGGAGTGTCAAGCCTATGGCCTAACCTTTGGCGTGCGTTAACAGGGCCCCAGAGGTACCTGCAGAGCTCCGGAGTGGTCATTCTGACAGGACAGTTCCTGCTCGGCCTCAGACACCTCCAGCAAGTTCCTCTCGCTCACCAGCCTGGACAGCTCCCCCACCACCGTCACGTGCTTGGAGACGGTGCCAGACATCTTCTTGAACTGGGGATAGTTCTCCACAAAGGCCTGGAAGGGGAAGGGAGAGCTTTGGGGAAGGCTCCTGGCTGACCAGGCAAAGGTCTCTTCTGAGCCAACTCGTCATGGGAACTCCTGCATTGAGAGCAGGCTTCACCCCCTCCCCCCGGCCTCAACTCTCAGGTGCGAGCAGCTGCCCACCCTCCTGTGCCCACAGGTGAGCAAGCAGGGCTACACTGTGGGGGGGGGATGTCCCACCCGCCCCTTCGCTTAACCTTCATGTCTGCAATCGATTCTAGTTTCTGCTGCTCTTTGGGTTTCTTCCTCTGGAAATCCTCCATCAGGTTCTTGATATTGCTGCCAATTTCCGCAAAGTTCAGGTACATGTTCTGAGGAGAGGCGAAGGGAACCATTTGAAGAGGGGGAGGGAGACCCCAGAGGCCCAACCCCTCACAGGTTGGGAAAGCTGCAGAGAGCCCAGCCATCTCCCACCCCAGCTGCCACAAAAGAGTATTGCAATCGGTCAGCTGGCTCTCAGGAGAGGCTGGGCCACTCGCTCTTGGACAAAAGGACTGGAAGCCCCTAATTAAAAGCGCTTTCCGTGCGGCCAGCAATTGTATGTTGAGGCGATCTGACATTTGGCCAAAGTTGGCTGATTGTACACATCGCAGTAAGCAATGGTTTGTTAAATCACTGGCTGGACTCAGGCTCCGAACAACCATATTAAGGGTGATGCATAAATCCAGCTATTGGATGAATAGACCAGGGTCCAACTCACGGCTCTGGCAGAGCCAATCATCCAAGTTTTAATCCGAAGCCTCAACTGGTGGCAGGGGAAACAGAACCCGGTGGCGGAACTGGAATCCAAAATCCGAAATGCAGATTTGCAGCCCAACTTCTTACACTGGCATAAAACTCATCATTCTCAGCAGACAAGACCACCTCCCGGAGGTCTTTGCTGATGCCTGGGACCCGTGAGAGATCAATGCGATTGTTGTTAATTCCCAGCAGTTCGTGAACCATGGCTTGGTACGTCCACTAGACAGAGAGGGAGAAAAGCGGAGAGACGGCAGTCGTTTCTCCTGAGGTGCTGTTTGAGGAATACACACACACACACACACACACACACACACACACACACACACACACCCCATTGCCCTGAAGACTCCAACCGTGGTGGCACAGCTGGCCCTTCAAAGCCTCTGCAGCTCTTGAGGTGGCCACTCACCTGGTTCAGAAGCGGAGTGATGGCGTCGTCTGAGCGGTCCAGGAGCAGCAGCAGCGGAGGGACCTCGGTGCGACGGAAGTCAAAGAGCTCGTACTCTTTCGTGATCACTTGCTGTTTGGGGCAAAAGGGGTCCCTCCGTTAAAGGGGGCAGCCGCCCAGAAGGCCAGTGCTCTAAAGGCCCAGAGAGAAGCGGTCTGAATGCCAAAGGCTTTGGGGGTCTCCTAAATACGGAGAACATAAAGCCACACCTTGACGCCTTCAGCCAGCCTCTTAGCCAAGTCAGAGGAGAGCTGGTAACGAATCATGGGGCACTTCTTCAGGGAAAGAAGCAAGGCGGTGAGGCCCTGAGCAGTCCTGCACAAATGGGCTGGGTCCCAGTTGCGGCCCTGGAAACACAAAACGGCCAACAGTTGCAAAACAGCTGCCCAGGCTCGGCCCCAAGCAAGTATTGGGAGAGAGCGCTTTAAGTGCAGACTAATGGGGTGGAGGGGCAAGGTCCACACTGCAGGCATTTCCCCCCTCCCAAGCTGAAACACCAGTCCAACGGCAATTTGGAAGGGAGTTTTCCTTTCCAAAATAAAATTCTCTTTGGCTCAACTTCAGCTATTAGGTTGTCACTCTGCTCTTGGATTTAAGCTTCAGGTAAAGACGGCGTGGATGCAAGCTTTGACTTCCAGAAAAAAGAAGTCTTCCTCAATGTCCCTGTCACATCACTGTAGTGTATACAAAAAAGCATTTAAGCTGCAGGATGGGAAGAAACCACTGAAGGTTGGTTACACTTTTCATTTTTGGTTAGGACCAGGGTTGGGGAAAGTTGCCCAATAAAGAAAAACAGGATTTTTTGTTTTATGAGGCATCCCATTCTTATCCCATGGACCAACTACCTCACTATCAGGTTTTAATTAAACCTATAAGATTAGTCATATATTAAAAACTAACCATCGATCACACCATTTTGGTTAGATTCCTGTCAGAGACAATGGCAGCAAAGGAGAAATATGCAAAGCTAGAGAATTTAACCAAATCCTAAATACATTTAAATATATCTTAATATCCTTAAATCACAAAATAATCATTCATCAGTGAGCCATAAGGCAGGCAAGATAGGAGCAGTGTTAACAACGTTTTTTATGCTCCTATAAAGATCATTTTGTTACCTAAATAGAACTGCTTCATATTCCCACTGAAGAAAGTCCATCGCTCGTGCCTTAACATCTCTTGAAGCACCTAAGAGCCATGGAAGCTAAAACTGGCAGAAAGCCACCCAAAGTCTTTAGGAAGTGCAATATTCAGCAAGCTCTCAATTATCTTTCTGCCCAGTCAGCCCAAAGACTCAGAGATGCTCCTGAAAGGCGGTGGCACTGGAAGTTCTCTCCCCCACATTCCTGGACCACGTACCTGACAGCAGACGGGGAGGTTGAGAGAAAACACATGTGGATTCACAGCGATGTAATCTCCATAGAATTCCTACCAAAAGAAAAGTAGAAAGGATCCACCACCGTGCTAGCAACAAACTGGTTATGACTCAGTCAAATCCCTGAAAGCAGATAGCGGTAGGCCTGACCTTCTGCACAACCAGCACATTTGTTTAAAAGCCTTTGTCCGATTGTGGGTTTGGTTCTCTGCTTCTAAAATACCTCCTCAACTCACAAAAGCGAGTGTGGGGTCTGGGCAGCACATACCTGCACTTCAGCCACCACTTCCTGCTCGTCAGCTTCTGCCAAAGACTTGACGTCACTCTTACTGATCACATTGCTGAAATCTGAAATGATAGCTTGATAAGCAGCCAGCAGAGAAGAACAGCCTTTTGAAAGTTCACCAAAATGTTGCAGTGCAAAAAGAACAAAGAGAGGGATGAGTGCAGGCAAAAAGCAGGGACTGTTTCCTAGCCCTGCTTGGCAAAAGCAGATCACCTGACTTGCAGACCTCAGACACAACACATCAGTAAACTATCATTTAACCAACCGTTGCAATTCAAAATCAGACCATGTATATTGTCGTTTGGGTATCCCTTTTCTAGTCTTTTTATAGGGAGTTTACTTTTTATAGAGATTTCTCTGGTCTTTTTATACAGATTTAAACCAACCTATCAATAGACTCTGGGCAAGAACATAACCAAAGTAAAAAAAATAACAGAACTACCTATTCCAAGGGCTCCCTGGGTGAATACTGGATGTTTTATGGCCATTTAGGCCAAAAGCCCCTGGAGGAGTCAATGTGGCCACTTAAGCCGAAAGTGACTCCTAGAAGCTGAGCTTTGTTGCAGGCTCAGGCTGGGTACTTGGAGTGTATCATTTATTCACGTAGACAGACTCCTTTCTCGCATAGAGAAAATTTAATCTGGGCTATCAAAACCCAACTGAAGTTCAAATTAAGAAAAAGATATCAAGACTATCCAGCACCTGAAGGCAGGACAAACAGCAACGGATTGAAACTAACCAAAGAGAGAAGCAACCTAGAACTAAGGAGAAATTTTCTGACAGTGAGAACAATTAACCAGTGGAACAACCTGCCTCCAGAAGCTGTGAATGCTCCAACACTGGAAGCTTTTAAGAAGAGACTGGGCAGCCATTTGTCTGAAATGGTACAGGGTTTCCTGCCTGAGCAGGGGGTTGGACTAGATGACCTCCAAAAACGGTACAGGGTTTCCTGCCTGAGCAGGGGGTTGGACTAGATGACCTCCAAGGACCCTTCCCACTTTATTTTTTATTATTAGTGCGCAGCTGGGCAGTGAGGTCAGCTGCGCACTCAATGTACACTTGAAGCATTCACTAAATTGAATACTTTGTACACAAACCCCCAGTCCTGCCATAAGTTATACATGAGAGAACAAAATACAGGAAGGAAATATTGGCAAAGGCCTGGTGTACTCACAAATAAAATAAGAGCTGTATTTGGGTCTCCGCAACTCCTGGATAAGATACCCAACATTTTCCTAAGGTAGAAACAAATCCAAAAAGAAAAAAGTGGAAAGATCAGCAAACTAGCAGCAAACCGGTTAAGTAGAAAGTATAATTGATTTTATTCAGGAAAAATCTACCCAGAGGACCACATACCCCTTCTGGGCATGCAAAGTATCTGACAGCACCACAAAGGGACGCTGCTCTGGCACCCTGGCAGAAGGAGCCCCCCCCCCCCGCTGCACTTTGGGGAGCAGAGTCACGTCGAATGACAGAAGCCCCCCAGCGACACGGCCTCCGGAGCGGGGAGCGGGAAGGCTCACCTTGGTGGGCCGGAGGAAGCAGATGGCTTTCAGGTGCTTCATGCTCTCCCGGCTGGCCGAATCGATGCGCTCAAAGAGGTAGACCTCCTTCTGCAGAATCTCCGACTGCGTATACACCATGCTCACGATGCTGGTCTAGGGCAAGCGAGTCAGGGCTCGCTCAGCTCGGCGGGGAGGCTTTGGGGCGCTACGAAACGCCCCCGCCCCCCGCCTCCCCCCCCCTCGCCGCGCTCCTTCTCCCTCCCGCGCCCACCCCCCGCGGCTCACCGTCTCCCTGTCCATCAGCAGGACCTTCATGCCGGCCCCGCTGTCGCCGATCATCCGGGAGACGTACTGCTTCACCGCCAGCACCACGTTCATCCTGCCGGCCCCCCTCGGAACCCTCCGCGCCTCCGCTTTCCTAGCGCGGGGAAGAGCCCGACCCGCACTCCCGCTCTGCCTGCCGCCGGCCTGGGAGCGGCAGCCTCGCCCCGCCTTAAGCGGCTCAAACTACAGCCCCCAGCAGCCTCCTCGCCGGGCCGGAGCGCGCCTGCGCCGGCTTAAGCCAGACGCGCGGCTTCGGCTTCTCCTTGGCCCGGCTGCGCTTTTCACCCGGGGGGGGGCAGCCCCGCCCCGCTGAGCTCCCGGCGCCTGCCGCCAGAGGGCGCCGCGAGGCCGCAGCAGCCCCCCCCCCCGCTGGAAGGTTGAGAAGAAATGCTACTTCTCGCTTCCCTGTGAAGGCATTTGGGGGGAGGGAGGGGGGTGTATGTGTGTGGCATCCAAGAGGTGGGGGGGGGGGTTTGCAGTCTCTCTCTCTCTCATTCTGGGACAAGTATCTGATCAGGCACTTGCCAGTCCTTCTGCCTCAGCCACAACAAAGTGCAAACAACTCTTTTCCTATTGATCTGTGCAAATGACTGATAAGCTGCCAAGAAGACTTTTTCACCCCCTTCTCCAGCTATCTTTTGCATAAACATTGCATCAGAAACAAAAACCCCAAGCATTTAATTTTTTAAAAGCCAACAAAACAAAATTTGGGCCCATCTCATGGGCAACCAGCCTCGCACAGGCTCTCCTTTCTTTGCTGGACTTTTCTGTGTCCACAGAGATGACAAATGGTCTTTTTGTCCAAGACATAAACAACGGCTGGGAAAAACAAAGGCAACAATTCACTCCCTGCCCTGGGTCGGCTGAGGTGGCCATGTGACCAGGCCCTCTTAGCTCTCTATTTTGACTGGAGACAGGTTTACGTCTCTTCATTTTTGTGACTTAGGAACAGGAGGATTAATTTTGAGACCGGACTTATTGGACAATACCAGGGGTATCGTGGAACCTGTGACCCACGGGACAGAGCCCACAGGGGTGTAAAAGCAATCAACCAACGTATGCCGACTCTTCCCATCACCATTAGAGGGACACCGTGAGGCCTCCAAGACAGAACTGGGGAGCCAGTTTGGTCCAGGCAACAGGCTAGAAATCAGGAAGCTCTGACTTTCTAGTCCCCTCTGAGGCATGAAAGCCGCCTGGGTGACTTTGGACCAGTCGCTTTCTCTTATCCCAACTCACCTCACAGGGTGGTTGTGGGGAAAACAGGAGGAGAAGGAGCATTAGGTATGTTTGTCTCCTTAAGATATGTATAAAAATAATAAAGGTGGGATTAAAACAAATGGGTATTTGAAGAAAAGTTTGGTTTTACCTTTTTCCTCATGTCTGAGAAGAAATTTGAAACCAGGTTGGATCCTTCAATTACTGTGTCATGCAGGCACAGAAAATAAGAGGCAGAAAAATATTTCCAGAGCACAGAATTGTATGAGAAGAGTGATTATACTTCCTCTAAAATAAAACCTCTCCTCTAAAAAACTACTGAAATAAAATGCAAGTAAAAATGAATATATTTTAAAGCACTCGCTGCAGGCATACAGCTCTACGTTACCTACACAGGACAATCATTTTTGAAATGTTTTCCATGACTCTACTTGACCTGCTGGCACCGGGCAAGCCTTTGGAAACAACATCATCAAATAAGATCTGGTTACTCTGAACTTCCTGTGTAGGCTTTTTAATCCAGGGGCTGAGAAACACGCCACAAGTGTTAACTTTTGTCTTCAAGGAGACCCATCCTCCCAGCCTTCAAGAAAGACAGCCCAAACTGTAGAGCTGACCCCATACACATCCCGTCTGCTTGGACTGTCAGCACTACGGACAGCCCACGATCAGGAGAATGCCAAGCACTTTGGTCCCATGGGACATGCCGTCCCTCTCCTTACAGGGGTCTTGAGTGCCAAAGGGCTCTGCCCACTGGTGTGTTGTCGTTTCTAAGAAACTGTTGGCAGGGACACATATTTTATCATTTCATAGCAGCAGCGATTTCCAAGGGTGAAGGTTAGCCTTTCAAGCTGAATGGGAAGATAAGCATTGAGATCCTGAGACCAAGATTTATTTCTTCTTCTTGAGAAGAGCCGTGTGAAATAGCAAAGAATCCTCTGCTCCAGAACTTTCTTTTTCTGGAGGTTCACCCAAGTTGAAGCCTTGGTGTTTTCAGAAAATGAAGTAAGCATTTTAATTATTTTTCTGAATGCTTGAAGAACTTGACTGTGAATATGAATATATTTGTAATATTTTCACTGCTTTAAAGCAATGTAATGTTAGTCACGGAATATGACTCCAAATATTAGGTGGTGTATCTTTTTGACAAGTTGGCCCGATGTCCTCCTTAGTTACAATGCCTGTGCACTCATTCATGCAGGAAAAGGTACCTGTCGGCAGTTCTGATGAAGGCTGTAGTAAAGCTACTTTCAATCCCCCTAGATAGCAGCAAGATTTAGGCACAGTGGTCCTTTTCAGTTCCAAAAGAGAGGCCATTTTATAGTCCAATTATTAAAAGAACAAGCGTGAATAGCACTTTGGGTTTATTTTGATGGTGGCTTTGCCAACACCAAAAAGGCTGGCTAGAATTGAAAGCAAGTTCAAATTCCTGGACTATGGGGTGGTCAGTAAAATAGTTCATTGTGCATTATTACTTCACAGGATAGTATCTTTATATCTGGACATTATTCCAGGTCAAATGACATCCTAATGTCCTGTTCCCAATACATATCTTTATTTAATAAAAGTACAAACTGCAATAAGTTTTTAAAGGGCAGGTATATTCATCCATACAGCACTATATTATCTGAAAGCTCACTTTAGCCACTTGCTCGGCAGTAACATGGCACTTACAAAATTTATGCAGTTTGGTTACTGGATTTGCACTTTGCATCACTGTGTGCCAGCTAACTTTTTTGCATTAAAAGAGGAAGGAATCGGGAGTCCTTGGTGCTCTCTGAGCCGGATTGTTTTTGTCGCAGACGTTTCATTACCCAACCTAGGTAATCTCACCAGTGCTAGTCAGTTGTATTGCGCTGCATCCAATGCTTCTGGAAAAGCAGCCACATAAAGTCCACACAAACATCGTGTGGACAAACCCTATCCCACTGAATTCCAGGGTTCACTACCAGGGAACCGGCCGGCAGATCAGTACGATTCAGTTCGCATCTCCGAGAACAGGTCCTGCCGACGAGGTTAGTTTTGGTAAAGCTGGCCGAGCCTAAAGTGGGGAAAGGCACCCGTGGAGGAATTCCCTTGGTTGGGAGGCGGACCGCAGCCCTCTCTTTAACGACGCCTCCCCGCGAGCGGCGTTCTCCTCCGCGGCCCCTTCCCCCGTCCCCGATCGCTCTAGTTCCCGCCCTGGGCGCCGCGCTCCCGGAAGCCCGTACCCCGAGTCGGGGGAGGGGGCGCCCGCAGAGAGCCAGAGGAAGCGGGCGGGCGGAGCCGACAGGCGAAGCGAAGCCTCCCGGCCGCCACGAGCCCTTCCCTCCCGGCTGCGGGGCGGGCGAAGCCACCCCCCCCCTTCACGGCCCGGGCACGCGAGGACCCGCGAGACTGGCCGGTGGCAGCCGAGAAACACCTCCGGGCAGAACAGAGGATCCAGCGCACCGGAGTTCCGGGGCGAGAGAGCCGGGGACGCTCCAGCGACGTATGCGCGCGCGCAGAGAGAGCGAGGCAGGCCGGGCGAGCGGGGCCTGGAGCGGGCGGAAAAGGGGCGCCGCCGCCCTCCTCCTGACCCCCCCCCGCTCCTTCCGGTCGGTCTCCGGGAGGCCATCCGGCCGAGGTTCCGCCTCCCGGTCTGGGCCCTCCTCGGAGCCGGGATGGCGGCGGCCGAGGACGAGCGGGGTAAGTGGCGAGGAGCCGGTTGCCCTCCCGAGAGCCGCCGCGAAGCCCGCCCGGGGCCCATCGGCCACACCCACCCAGCCACCCCCGGCTGACCCGGCCCGCCCAGGCGCCGCTTCCCTGCCGGGCCCGCAGCCTCTGCCCGCTCGCTGGCCGAAGCCTTCTCCGCCCGGGATCGGATGGGGCCGGCAGTCGGCGGGACTGGGGCGCCTCCGGGCCGCTCGTCGCCTGGCGGCTTCCCCCCGGGATCGGCCGGGGAAGACTCCGCGGCTAACCTGCCGGGCGGGGCTGGCCTCTCCCGAGGAGCGGCTGCCGCTGCCGCCTCCTCCGCACTTTCGCTTCGGGAGGGCCGGGGCCGCCTTTGCGCCCAGGGGGGAGGCTGCGCGGGGGCGACGCGGATCTTCATCCGGCATGTAAACGCTGACTCTTAGAAGATGAGTCCTCCAAGCGCTGCAGTTAGTGGAAGTGGAAAAGTCTCTTTCCTTTTGCCTTCGAGGGAGGGAGGGAGGGAGGAAAATGAAGCCCTGGATGTGCCCAGTTCCTGTCTAGGCAGCTGGCCTCTTTCTCTCGTCTGCTTCCGTCTTCCTGGGAGCAAAGCACGAGTCTTCTGGGCAAGGAGTTATGTTCTTGACTCCTGCAGTCTTTGATAATGAGGGATGTGATTAGCTTCATGTGATGAAATCGCGGGGCTCGACTAGAAAGATTTCTGTGCCTTTGGCAGGTGAGCGCCTGCCAGCCAAGCCCTGTTCCACTGCACAGCACACGCCCATCCAAACAAAGCCTGCTTAGGAAAGACCTGGTTGTGGGAGCGGTGTCTAAGAGAGCCAAGTCTTCAGCTGAGCAGTATATCCCAGGAGCCTTTCTGAAAGAAAAAGACCGCGCCAGGGACTTCCTTACAGTGAGTCATAGTGCTGATCTAGCCAGCTCAGCCTGGCTTTGGCACTTAGCAAGGGTGGCTGGCTCCCGAGGTTTGGAGCAGTGCGGCCTTTCCCACCCAGACCCACGGTAGAGCCAGGATCAGGCTGTTCTGTATTCTGTGCCCTGCTGCTGAATGATGACAGCCATTCATTCTCCTAAAGACTCAAGCAGCTTCCTTGCACCTAGCCCTGCCGGCTCCAACCTCTGCTGACCTAGGTCCATTTGCTCTGGGTTTGACTCTGTCTGCAGTGCTGAAAACTGAGATCCTTGGGCCCCCACTGTAGGGCCCTTCCAGCTGTCTGATGAATCCACAGGCAGGCGGGACAGGGCAGAGCCAAAACTGTGATGAGTCCTCTGTCCTTAAGTTAACCTCCCCCCAAGGGATTTCATGGAGATCCTGGATGGTCCGAGTTCCTTCCTGGTTTGTATTTGCTTCATTCAGAGGGTAAAGTGTGGGTTCTGAGTCAATACATCTTCCTCTTTCCTGTTTCTCTGAGGCCAGTGATGATTTTGGGAGCAGCTGAGGTGACCCGTCAACTTTCACTTTAACCTCTGATCTTGCTTGAAGACTAGCTTCTGCCTGCCTGTCTGTGAGCAGGCTCAACCTGTAATCAGTGCGGCCATCTGTTCTGAATACTTGCTTGGTCCCATTCTGATCTTGGCTGCCCTTTTGTGTTTCTGGCAGTAGTCTTCTAATCGGACCCCTTAGTATATTATTGATCCAGCCTCTGGCTGACGTTTGAGAAAAGACACTGAAATAAACTGCTAAGAACCCAAGAAAGCAGCAGTGTACCGATAAGCCTTAGTCAGGTGGACAGATGGTGATATAGTACTACAGAGAAACTGCTTTATTCTTGCTCCTCTACCTTGAACAGTTTAAAGGCTGAAAGCATTCGCTACTTAATTTTACCATTCAAGACAGAATAAATGCTGAAGTGGGAGGCATCCCTACGGCTTTGACTGTGGAGGATGAGAATTTGGTAGGGCTTTGGAATCTCAAGAATTTCAGCCATTTGTGTGCTGACTCCTCCACATAGAACAAAAATGTCTACAAGCAGTGAGAACTTTCATGCATGTTTTGTAAAATAACAGTACTGTACAGAGTTAGGAATTATTGTTCAAAATTCCTAGGAGCAGTCAGTGAAGGTTGTGTAAGTATCTGGAGTTTTTAAAATATCTGTTAATGCTGAAGCAGATGTGTAAATAATTTCAACTTTAGTGCTTATTTTGTGGAAGAAGAATGTCTGGTACAGATGGCCACTTAAGCTGAATGGCAGATTTTTGTCTACTGTATGCCAGAGGCAAATGGAAGAAGTCTGTGGATCCAGCTGGGTAATAGCTCTTATCTTGGAATCCCTCTTGTCTTGCAAAGTCCCTGGGCCCAGCTGGTGTTCTCCCACCAGGTTCCGTGCTTCTATAGAAGGCCCTTTGTTACCAGGGGTCCTGAGAGCCAAGCCCCTTGTGGCATCCAGCATTTTTCAAGTGCATCCAGGAAGCACCTCAAGCAGGAAAGGAGGGCAACAGCACCTTCTGCCCCATTCCCCAGCAGAACTGATGAGAGGCCTACTATTTCTAACACAGGAGAGTAGCTGCTTAGTTTGCTCCATCCTTTCCTTTACTGAGGCAAGAAAACAAGGCTTTTCCACGAGGGTGCCCCCATAGTAAAACACCTCTATGATGGAATGCGGGGAGAGTTTTAGATTGGACATCCAGAAAGCATTTCCTACTGGCTGAATGGATGTCAAGAATTGGAATGGAATAAGGATAGGGAGAATAGAATCAAATAGAAGTAGTAAATGCTCCAACACTGGAAGTTTTTAAGAAGAGACTGGACAGCCATTTGTCCGAAATGGTGTAGGGTTTCCTGCCTGAGTAGGGGGTTGGGCTAGATGACCTCCAAGGTCCCTTACAACTTTACTACTATTACTAACTTTATTGGCCAAGTGTGATTGGCACCCAAGGAATTTGTCGCGGGTGCATAAGCTCTCAGTGCACATATGAACAGCAAGTGATAAATCGTGATCATAATCATAAAAATAAAATCGTCTGGATATATTTCTTTTAGTTAGGAAGATTGCCAAGCATTTTTAGTTATTGTGAGATGGGAGATAGATAGATATTCACTAACTAAGATATTAATGGAGGTTTTACTTTTTAAAAAAATATGTATGATTTGGCTTACATTAAACAGCCAAGAATCTGGCTGATAAATATGCATATCCATTTAAAGATTTGTTACATACTTTTACTGGTGTCTCATGTGCATTGGGTTGCATTGGTGATGTTCTCTTTCATAGGTACTGTTCCAAGTATCTGCATTTTTAGCTGGTCATCTAATTTTAAGTTTATTTTTATCCATGCTACTCGCTATCTTCCCTACAAATTATAGTTGCCAATAACTGAATGCATATAACAGAGGAATACTCATTTTTATGTACAAATCGGTATGGAAGAGTTAATGGCCTGAAGATTGGAATTTAGGCAACAGGTTGTTTAGGATGTTGACACACATATTAAACCAAAACAATTTGCAGCCTGACTATGAATGGCGTCCTTAGCCTCTCCTGGCTCAACTACTTTAACATTGGCTAGATCTGAGCATATGAAATTGTTTGGCCCCTATTTATGATACAACTTTGTGCATCGTCTTTCCTTTCTCAAGCAACATTCTTTCAAGGCTATGGCCCGTGCAGGTTTTGTGTGTGTGTGTGTGTGTGTGTGTGTGTGTGTGTGTGTGTGTGTGTGTGTAAAGAAGCCATGAACTTGATGTAACTTGCTTTGGGGAATACAAGCTTCAGTTGTTAGGGAATTCTTCCTCACCTTTTTAAACAGCGAAAGTGAATTTCTCTAGAATTCTCCTCTATGAAAGAGCCTCTTCTACATTTGATGCATAGGAATTTGGGATAAGATACAACCTCTCCAGTCATTTTTCCTGCAGAAAAGTAAGAGAAAAAAACAGTACTTAGTTTTCTGCTTGTCAAGAATCTTTTCAAAGCTCAGAAATAGCTATTGTTAAAGAGCAAACCTCACAGTTAGGTCCTCAGGACGTTAGTAGCCATCTTAAACGCTTATAAACATATTTGACTGTTAAGGATCTCCTGGTTTATAAAACTGTATCCTGTTTGGCTATTGGATTATACATGCATTGGAATTAAAATGCTGCATGACTGGGAACATTTTTTGTGGCTGAAGGTTGGATAGCAATGGGATTACAATGAAGGTGAATGTTTGTATTGGGAGGGCTGCACAGTGCATTGCTAAATTATTTGCAAGGGATCAATTAAATCTGCAATTCACTGCTGGGGGATGGATTTAAAAATAGAGGCCCATTCATGGCAAGAGGCTGTAAATGGAAACACCCCCCCACACACACACATACACATTTGGGCCAGGCTATGTCTGATGTACTGGGATAAGGAGAGGGAGAAGGCAAAATGATTCGTGGACTTAACCAAGAAATGTATTTCTGAGTAGCATTTAAGACCAGTTTTCATCTTGTGCCTGTCTGCTGTCTAGGAGGCTAAACTCTCCTTAGCCTTTGCTAGATCTTGTGTCTTCCTCTGATCAAACATAAGTAAATCTATTTTGGTTATTAAAAACATAAGATTCAGTAACTAGAATTGAAAACTAGAATAAATGGAAAACATTTGGCAGTACTTTCCATTTTACATTGTGCCTGTTTTTTGGCATGAAAGGTGAGGGGAAATATTCACAATTTATACACAATTTTGGCCAAGTTGAAGAAAACCTGACAAACGTGTATCGTTTCCCCTTTGTGATGCAGAGGTTAAGTTATGAAGTTGGACCCAATGGGGTGTGGACTTCTCCTTAAGCCAGAGTGCTTCTTCGTGCTTCATCTGTCTGGAGGCCGTCTTTGAGGATGGGCAGATGGGAAGCATCAAAAATCAAGATTCTTAGAATTTTGTTAGGGTTTGTTCCCCAATTTGAAGGCTGAAGGCAGATGGCCGCAATGGTTAATACTGACCCTTGGCAGGCGGCTTGCGCAAAAAGCCAGTGCTTGTCTGGAAGTGATAAGGGTGGTCCTTTACCTGGAGTGGAGCTCGGCCTGCCTTGGGGAGAAAAGTCAGCTGTCGCTGGCTTAGGTATTTGTTAACTACATTGATATGCCACCCACCTAACTGTTGAAATAGCCCTGGGCAGCTTACAAAAAAGATAAAAGGTAAATAATAAAAACAATTAAAATTAACGAAGATTAGCTAGAAAGTGAAGACCTACGAGGGTGGAATCTACCCTGTCAGCCAGGCGCAGCGTAGACCACCCCCGTCAGAGCCCTAGGCGGGCCGGGAGAGCCAGGCTCCGAGGCCCATCCGCAAGGCCTTGCCTCCGAAGACCGAGACCTTCCAACCGTCCCCTTACCGTTTCAATTTCAGGCAGGGTTTAGGTCTGTGTGGATGGAGTCAGGGAGACAAGGCTGTGAGGATGCAACTCCATTGGCCTCCCATTGAGTCAAACTGGCAAATCTCTCGGATGGCCTTGAAAGTCACTCTTTGTAGCAATCAGCCAAACTGCATCTTCTCTTTTTCTTCTAGAATGAAAAACTGTCCCGGTTAGATGTCCCAGCGGTTCCAGTCGCCTGCAAGGAATTCATGATCGCATGACCCTGGATATGGATGTGGTCCTCTCAGATTTTGTTCGCTCAACTGGGGCAGAGCCAGGATTGGCAAGAGACTTGCTTGAAGGTAAAAACTTCAGTTGTTTTCATTTTTTACTGCTATCCTCACGTCTTGCCTCTTAGTTATCCATTTCTGAGTTGCAAAATAATATGCTCATTTCAGAAAATGCCACTCCCCACTCAGCAGCTTATATGATTATCTACATTTGGTGTTATTCCCCAGTTCGCCCCAAAGCTCTCCATCTTGAGGTCTGTTATAGGATTTTATTCCCTAGCTGGGGGTCTCCTATAAGCCTCACATCCAGTGAAATACTGATGCTTATGAGATTCCCTGAATGGGTCTGGACAGAAAGGGGAGCGCATCTGTTTCTAAATATTTAGAGAAAGCAGAGATGAAAGGCTGAGAGCGGGGGAAATTTCCTTTAGATGGTGAGGATGATTCCCAAATTTTCTTACGAAGGAAAAGAGGAAATTGGGTTGGTTTTTTATAACCTGCTTAAACTTGTTTCCTCTTCCTAGGGAAAAACTGGGACTTGAATGCTGCACTGAATGATTTTGAGCAGCTGAGGCAGGTTCATGCCGGGGTCTTGCCCCGTTCCTTCAGTGATGGTCGCACTTTTAAATTTGTGGAGAAGGAGATCACCCGGAGTGTCCGGCCACAGCTGCAGCGCCAAGATGACATAATTCAAGGTAAAAGGCTCTCCTGATGCTGAAAAAGGTTGGTTTGTGGATAGAGGCGCGATTTGCATCCCAAGGACAGCAAGTCGGCGCCTGGAACATGGTGAATTTTTCCAATGTTTGAGTTCCTGCTTCAGTGAGGAGAAGATGAGGACGCAGCCTCTGCAACCGGCTGTCACTTCCTCTTCTGTTTTCAGAGAAGCGCTTGTCTCGAGGCATTTCCCACGCCAGCTCCACCATCGTCTCGCTGGCTCGCTCCCATGTCTCCAGCAATGGCGGCACCAGCAGTGGCAGCAGTGAGCATCTCTTGGAGATGCCCATCTGCACCTTTCAGCTGCCTGACCTGAACGTTTACAGCGAGGACTTCCGGAGCTTCATCGAGCGGGATCTCATCGAGCAGTCTATGCTGGTGGCCCTGGAGCAGGCCGGTGAGTACAGGCTGAGGGCACGGCTGCTTTTCGGAAATGAAATGCAAAGGCTTAAAACCTTCTTGGGCTCCTCTGATGATTGTGGTTGATTACCAAGCTGGAGGAAAAGATAAAATCTGCACATCCTTAGGTATCGTCTTTGTGCTGTGGCTTCTTGGGCGTATAGTTCTTAGAGCTAAGCCCCAGGGCACTTTCATTCAAAATCCCCCATAGAATTCCCTCATATATCAAAAAGCGGCTTTGCTTTTCCATCCAGGTTGACTTAAAGCACCCCACGTTCTGTGGAGGTTCTGAGTTTAGAATTCAGCGTTGGCCTAGTATGCTCACTCTGGTTCCTCTTCCTTTGATCTGTTAGGATGTGTTTTGAGGGCTGGGAGTTGGAAAACTGCAGCGCACTGCAGAATTCTCAGAACTTAAGACTTGAGGAAAAATACGCATTCTGGAAATTCCACAATCTCATACATTAGCATCACATTTTATACTTCTTCCTGGGATCTTTGCATTTGGGGAATCAATGCACTTTCCCAACAAAATTTAAATTGGTTAGTGCTGCAGACTGATTCAAGGATTAATGTAAACCCTTCCTTATTTGTGGCGAGTAGCTGCAGAAAGGTAACTTTTCCCCTGAAAATAATGACTACCTCATGAGTCGTATAATTTTAAATGTAAAATGCAGGGAAGAGAGTCTCTCTTTACCTCCATCCCCATCTGTTTTTAATTTAATAAAAAATGGAAAAAAATAATCACAAATCTCCTGAATCACTTGGGGCATCCCTTCATCACAGTGTCTTCTGACTTACCCCCTTAAGGTGACAAGATTTAAAGTTACTTGGACTTTAAAACTGTCCAACTTGGAAAACATGTTCAGGCAGCTTCTTGGCTGTGAAGCTTGGGAGATCTTGCAAACAGGAATGCCTTTATGTTGCTTTCAGACATAATCTGCTGTTGCTTAGGAAGACAATGATGTAAGCCTCTAGTACCCATGCAAGTGTGTGTGTGTCTGAGAGAGAGAGAGAATGAGAGGGAGGGAGGGAGGGAAACTGGGGCAGAAAAAAGATGATGTATCCAAAAGAAATAGGCAAAATTCTAAAAATCCTTTTGCAGTGAACAGTGTTTTTGCTTTCCTCAGATTTGGTTTTATCTCGGTTGCTCTTTAAAGTTCTGCCGCTCAGTGACAGGGTGGGACGGGGCTGTGCTGCATGCCACCGACTTGGGAAGCGGCTTGCCTGTTTACGAGAACGCTGAACGCTGGCTCAGGGCCCATCCTGTGTGTTTCCCTCACAGAGTTAGATCCTTTCTCTTGGAGGCAGGCGGGAGGGAGGGAGGAACGGTTGCTGATCTCCAGCCTGTTAAGTGTGCCATTCCAGGGAAAGCAAAGGATCTACCTGTGATTAATCCTTCTAATCAAAAGGCTCTTAGGGTTTGAGTTGTTCTTGAGAAATGCTGTTTTGCCCATCTTGCTGAGCAAGCCTGACCTTTTGATATTTCTTTCATCCTTTTTTTAAAAAAAGGAAGCTGGGGGTGGTTATTGCCATATTTAAGGCAAGATCAGAAGTTTTGCTCTAGTTATAAGGCAAAGATTGCTTTGGTCGGTTTGCTGTTAACCCTCCCCCTCTCCAACACTGCAGGGGGCTTGGCTGTGTGTGCCAGAGGAAGCAATAATGCACAGTAATGCAGTAACCTTCTTCATTTCCAGTTGGTTTTTAAGGTCCAGCCAAGTCTTTCTTTCCTGTCACCTCTTTTATCTCTCAAGTAGCTGCTGTGGCTGGTGAGTCTCTTAAGAAGTCCTTCCTTCCTTCCTTCCTTCCTTCCTTCCTTCCTTCCTTCCTTCCTTCCTTCCTTCCTTCCTTCCTTCCTTCCTTCCTTTTCTTTCTTTCCGTAATATTCAAGGAGCGACTCTTTAAATGCAGAAATGAGGCCAGATAGCAGAAGATAGCAGGGTGTATCTGAAATGCTCCAACCCACAAACTCTCAAATGTATTTGTAGTCAGTACATATATATACACACAGATCTATTCCCCCCTTGCCTAGGTCGTCTGAACTGGTGGGCCAACGTAGATCCCAGCTGTCAAAGGCTGCTTCCCTTGGCGACAACGGGTGACGGAAATTGCCTGCTTCATGCTGCATCACTAGGTAAGATCTTTCAGTCGTAAAAACGTACAAATTTACTCTGTGCATTCCTTCGGCTGCTAGGCAGCTGCCCCCCCCCCCGCTTCCTTTCTTTTTTTCTTTCATAAGAAAGAAAGCGCTTATGATGTTTATGGCTTCCTGGCCAAAGTGACAAATATTTCAGTTTCCACAGAGTCAGTTTGAGTAGCCTTTTGAATCTTCTTCCTCAGGCTGCAGGTCCCAGATAATTCCCCTCCTCGGCCAACTGGGCTTCCTGAATATTGTAAGCCACCAATACTGTAAACCAAAATCAAAGCAAGCATGTTACGACATAGGTCCAGTCGGGATTGGGCCCAGTCGGCCCACTAAAACCTGCCCTAAAAGGAGGCTGTTTCTCATTTCCTCCTTACCACCTTCAGGTATGTGGGGTTTCCACGACAGGGATCTGATGCTGCGCAAATGCCTTTATGCCCTGATGGACAGAGGGGTGGAGAGGGAGGCTCTGAAGCGACGCTGGAGGTGGCAGCAGACCCAGCAAAACAAAGAGGTAAATGATTTGGAATGGCCTTTGAGAACTGGTGAGGCCAGGCTTGGCTTAGCAAAGGGGATTCCCGAGTCCGGGATTCAGCCTTGCTTCCCTTTGGGAACCCAACTCTCTCTCTCTCTTGCTCACTCCTCTCAGGCGCTGTGTGTGTGTGTGTGTGTGTGTGTGTGTGTGTGTGTGTGTGTGTCTGTGTCTCCTCTAAACGCAGCAGCTCCTCCCTAGCCAATCCCAGGGAATAATCTCAAAGAAGCCCCTCTAACGTAGGATGATCGAGAGAAGATGTTCTGTTTGCCTGCAGATCTCTTACTCTCTTCACTGTCTCTGCCACCATTACAGTCTGGCCTCGTGTACACAGAGGAAGAATGGCAAAAGGAGTGGAATGAGCTGATCAAACTGGCTTCGAGTGAGCCACGGATGCATTACGGCACCAACAGCGGGAACTGTGGAGGGTAAGCAGGACTTTCCACTGAACAAAACATGGCAGTGCCCGGGGCTTCTGGGTCAGGAGATGGGGGATACTTTATGAGTCCTTAAAAAGCTCCGTTGATCCTGAATGCGGGAACCAGGATGGAGGTCTCTTGGAGCAGGTACCGCGATAGTTTCTAGGCAGAAATCAAAGATGCTCAAATGAGAAATAAACGCACTTGTTTTTGAAGGTGCCTGGCCAGGCCACCTATGTGAATTCCCAGAGGATGGCAATTCATGTGTGTCTTGGCAATGTGTTTATAATAGGCCATTCCTCATTCGCAGGGCTGCTGGTTCCAATCCATAGGATGCCTGCCTTATTCTGAGTGACACAGGAAAGGGGCATATAGGATACGGTGATTCAGTATGCAGAACATTGAACATTTGGTCATCTCCCCGCCCCTGTTCTTTGTTTTGTTTTCTTCAGGGTCGAAGGATCTGAGGAGCCTGTGTATGAGAGCCTGGAAGAATTCCACGTTTTTGTCCTTTCCCATGTATTGAAGAGGCCCATTGTGGTTGTGGCAGACACTATGTTGCGAGATTCTGGAGGAGAAGGTAAGAGTGCAGTGAGGTGCATTAAGAAAGCGCGGCTGTGATCTGCCTTGGTACTGCCAGTTGCTGTTTTCAGTATGTTTCTTATTTGGAAAGAAAATGCCCCAAGTAGTAACTCTTGCAGAGGGGAAGCTTCTGTGAAAGGCTGTTGAGATAGTTTCTGTTGCAAAGGATATTGACAATCAAGGGCCGGCTGGGAGGAGCCAAGAGGAGGAAGAAGCTGTTCACGCAGAGTAGTCTCGGCGGTTACTTTGGTTTCCTAGTAAACACTGAGCGTTTTCTCAGTGACCATAGTTCACTTAGCCATAGAATGTGAGGTTTGGAAGAGATCTTACAGACCGTTTAACCTTCTGCTCAGTGTAGAAATCCAGTACAGCCATATTCCTTACAGGTGGTCATCCAACCACTATTCCAGGGTCTCCAGCAAAGGGGAGTCCACCCCTCCCCTGGCTGTCTCCTGAATAGGTTCCTTGAAATTTGAACTCACCCGTTTCTGTCCTGCCTTCTGGAGCAATTCTGTATAGTCCTGTCCCATCTTTTCCATCGTAGCCCTTCAGATACCTGAAGAAGACAGCTATTATGTTTCCACAAAAGCCTTCCTCTCCAAGCTAAAGACACCGTTGTCTCCAACCATTGAGGGGTCCAGAAATCCCTTCTGCAAGGGTGCTTGGAGATCTTTTCTGAAAGTCCAGGGAATAAGAACTCTGTCTGAAGACCTTGGAACTTTGCATCTCGTTCCTCCCTCTCTCTGTCCCCACCACCTTCTTTTTCTCCTATGTTCCGAGGGGCTTCCTGGTACCAATGAACCTCTAAAAAGCTTCCTGCATCCATTCCAGGAATTCCTTGTCATCTCTGATAAGCTTATGGGGTGGAGAGTTTTGCTTTTCTCCCAGGAAGGCACCAGCCTACATGTAGCTCATGTATAATTTTTAGAACCTTACAGGAAAAGCACAAACACAGAATAGATCACAAAAGCAGTTTCTTCTGTCTCCATGTTATTCGGGTGAACAAACAAAATGTTAGTCTTTCCCTCTCTTGACCTTTTCCCCCAACTCCCCCCGGGGAACTCCCTGCTGGATGCACCCATTCTCTCGGTGCTGGTAACTGAGGAATTTGTTTTCACCGGAGTCTTCTTTCTCCTTTCCAGCGTTTGCTCCTATCCCCTTTGGTGGCATTTATTTGCCTCTGGAAGTTCCTGCCAGCAAGTGCCATCGTTCCCCACTGGTTCTGGCCTACGATCAAGCCCATTTCTCTGCTCTGGTGTCCATGGAGCAAAAGGAGCCCATCAAGGAACAAGGTGCGCACTAAATGGGCTGTGGCTCTGTTGTTGCCTTCCTTCTGACCTTGCGGCCTGTCTTGGATCTTGTAAAAACATCAGGCGGAGCATTCTATGATCCCCTCATAGCCCCTTTCTGTTAAATGTACGGCTTTCTTTTGCTGATAGTTTTTCTGCCTTCCCGAGTCCAAATTCTGTTTTTGGGGACCTTAAGGATTTTTTTTTCTTTTTTCTTTTCAACCTAGCTGTGGTCCCTCTGACAGACTCTGAACACAAACTGCTTCCGGTACACTTCGCAGTGGATCCTGGGAAAGATTGGGAGTGGCATAAAGATGACAATGATAATGTCAAATTGGCAAGGTAAATAAAAGGAGAGCTCAATTTGGAAGAAATGTGGAGTTTCTACCTTTTTGCATTTCGTATTGGAGGAAAGGAGCATGGGAGGACAAACACACCTTCAGAGAAATAGGTCTTGGTAAAGAAGAGTAAGAAATGGAAGGTGTAAAGGGTCCTGCAAGAGATGAGAGGTTAGGTGTAGGAGATGACCAGGCTAAGCCCGAGGGAGGGAGGGCTCTAGCGCATCATCAGCCATGAGTCCCCTTGCGCCCACCAGGGATCTAAGTCCAGCCCACCTTGAATTCCGCTTGACTTTACCACCAATTTGCTTTGATCATTAGTAGGTCAGATTCTTGTAGAGCGTGTTAGCTGGCAATAAACCATTTGAACCCCCTTGACTCCTGACTTTCTGCGCTTGACTTTAGGTTGGGAAAGGGGAAATTGCTGAGGACATAGAGGCAGTCTTTTGAAATATGAATTAGAGTGAAAAAAAGTGAGGATATCTAATACTCATATTTTGAAATCTATAATAATTTCTCCAGGGTATTATTCATTTGAAATGTTATTTCATACTTGGAATTTCTATAAGATCCAGGAACTGGGACTTCTGATTTAATTCAGTGGCTTCATTTTGTTTTTGTTTTTGACATGGCCCTGCCTGTTTAGTGTGACACTTTCACTGGAAGCCAAGTTGCATTTGCTGCACAGCTACATGAATGTAAAGTGGATCCCCTTGTCTTGTGACACGCAGGTAAAAAAATATTAAGGGAATCACATTCCAAATTATTTTCCAGTTCTGCCTAGAATCATAGAATTCTAGATTTAGATTATTTCAGCTGTTGAGACCAACCCTTGCTCAGTACAAAGGTCCACCTTAAACCACCCTCAACTAATGGCTGCTCATCCTCCCCTTCTTGACAGTTGCTTTCACTATCCCAACTGTTATTAATTTCAGGAAGGGTTTTTTTTTCTCAATTTTTTTTAATGAGAATCTGCCTTTTTGCAACTTAAATCCATTATTCTCAAGAAGACAAAATAATTGCACTAAGCAGAATTGGATGAAACCGGCCTTTATGTTAATGTTGTAAAGGTGGCTTGTTTAGCAAGCGATGTGAGCTGTTCAACTTACATTCGGTCTATGATTTAAAAAGAGTTTTATATACTAAAGATACCCATACACTACATAGTGTCCAGAATTGTATAATCCTTACTTGAGCCATGGTCATCTTTTCTTTCTGGAAAAGGCGCCCCACCCTTAAGACAGATCCACCTGGCTGTAGAACGCGGCCCCAGCCTCCCCTTTCCCTGGCGGTGGAAAGGTTCTCGCCTTTTCTGCCGTGTGCTGCCTCTCTCCCTTCTTTCCCTAGGCACCCCTTGCGCAGCCAGAGTCTCCAACGGCTTCTGCGGGTGATGAGGTCCGATCCACTGCAGATTCGGGCGATTCAGATAAGGAATCAGTTTGTAGCAGCTCAGCCAGCAACAGTGGCGGCAGCAAGGCCAGCAGTAAGGAGAAGGAGAAAGAAAAAACGAAGAAAGAGCGGGAAAAGGACAAGGAGAAGAAACGGGCTGACTCCGTAGCCAATAAACTTGGAAGTTTTGGCAAAACTCTGGGGAGCAAGCTAAAAAAAAACATGGGTGGGCTGATGCATAGCCGAACAGTCAAAGGTGGGGTGAGCAATGGACAAGGGGAGACCTTGGAGAAGAAAAAGAAAGGCTCCATAAAAGTAAGGAAAGGCAGTAAGGAAGAGGGACCTTCCGGAGATATTTCAGCTCTTCCAGAGAAGTCGGGTCTAGCCAAGACAGCTTCAGAACAGCAGCCCGATAACTGCAGATACAGCAATGATGTCCGGTTGAGTTTGAGCATCCTCCGAGCTGCTATGCAAGGGGGGGAGCGCAAGTTCATCTTTGCCGGTCAGCTGAAGACCAGTCACCGGCACCAGTACCAAGAGGAGATGATCCAGCGGTATCTCCTGGATGCTGAGGAGCGTTATTCTGCAGAGCAGAAACAAAAGGAAGCTGAGAAGAGGATGGTGGCCCTGGGCAACGGGGGAGCCGCCAAAAAGATGGACTTAGAAGGCAATCCTCTCAAAGGAGAAGAGACTCTGCTGAACTCCATGGATCACCCAGTACTGCCGCCATATAGACTCCAAAGCTCAGATCTGGCCACAGTGGGTACTAAAACATCCAGTTTTTCCACTGGCCACTCAGGAGTCTTCACCATTCCCCGGCCTTCTGTGATGAGCAACGTGGAAAGCACCTATACCCCTACTTACCCAGATGGCCGAAAGCAAGTTGCTGGAGGCCTCTGTGCGCCTTTTCCCTCTTACGCTACGCTGCCCAGGCAGTGTGCACAGAGCCGTTCCCACCTGTCCCAGCAGGTGGGGCCCTTCTGTACCACAGAGATGGATATGCCACCTAGTTACGTGGAGGTGGACTGTGAGGGCTCTTCTTGCCCAGTTCTGTCCAGCAATGGCTATCAAGAATGCGCAGAGCCGGACGGTAGCTCTCCAAAAGTTGTGCAGGGTGATCAAAGCAAAACATGGCTGCTGTACAATGTACAGCAGACCAAATGCAAACAGCCCAACTGCAATTTTTATGGACATCCAGAGACTGGGAATTTCTGTTCATGCTGTTACAAAGAAGAGCTGAAACGCAAAGAACAGGAGAAAGAGACACCGATACATCGGTTCTGAAGAAACAAAGATGTGCGTGTTTCATATCTGGACCCATGGGATATGGGGAATGCAATAATTTTCTCTACCCTTGCCTCTGTTGCCCTCTCCTTCAGGGGAAGAGCTGGCCAGTTGGGGTTGGTAAGCTGCTTGTGGGATGGGGGAACCACAGCCTTTAGAAGTGTGGAAGAAAACTCCACTGAAGACCAAGGGCTGCTAAAGCAATGTGTTGGGGGCGGCTCCCTGGAAGGTGGGGGTAGAATTCAGGGAGGTTGCGTTTTTGTGCAGGGCTGTAGTTGCTGAATCAAGCAAATCCTCTAGACCAAAGCTTTGAATTCCAAGATTAGAGAAAAACAGTGACAGAGGCCTCTTCTTATTTGATCATCCTCCAACATATTTTTTATTTCAAAGGGATTAAAATTAGGATCACTCAGATTTTTCTTAATGTCTGAAACTTGGAGGCTCTTTAGCAGTTTCGTGTCTTTTTTATTATGACTATTTTTGTGTGTTCTGGGGTGTTCTGACCCTGCACGTAGACTCTATTGGAAAGGGCCGGTTCTGAAGAGGGAGTAGAGATCAGTTACCTCCCTGTTCTTCTGATGCTGCCTCTTCCAAATCCACCCATCTTTTCCCACAATTGTCTGGTCTTCTGAGCATGCCTGTTCTAGCTAGTGTTAGCTTCAGTTATTTTCAGATGTTTTTTTTAAATATATATTTTAAAATTCTTGTCAGGAGCTGATGTGCTAGGAGGGAAGGAATCTTGGTGGTGTGTGAATTGAGGAGAGAAAGTTTTAACTGAAAAAAAATGAAGCTGTTCATGATGGAACCAAACTACTGAGTAGAATTTTGGAGACCAGGAGGGGAAATCAGTGAGGCTTTAATAAGAGCAATAAACCACTGCAGGCAGCTTTGAACGTGGAGAGATGAAAAGTGGTAATGAGGCATCACAGCAAGAATCCTTTGCTATCTGATTTTGCTGTAGCTACTTTTAAAAGCATCAGAAGATACAACTATATAATCTTTTCTTATCTGCAGAGAACAACCTTCTTTCTGTGCAAGCTGTTTTTCCCAGACTACCTCTGTTCTGTATAGAAAAAAAAAAAATCTGACTTTTGGGGGGAACATAAGACAGAAATTATTCTTTGTTCCTTGTGGGTTTTCTAATACAGTACATTAACTTCCCATCACCTCCAGCCTTCAGAAATATTGGTATATTTTAAAAGCACCCGATTATTCCCACATTTGGGGTTGCAACATTTGTTGCAATTATTTTTCCAACAAATAAAGAAAATGCCTTTGATGGCTAGGAACTCCCTCTTAATCAGATATTTCACATAGACACATGCCAGTTATATTTTGACTGAATTTTGAGTGGTGGATAAGGGTTCCCCCCCGCTTTTGGCTCCTTTGGATGTCTAAAACTATGCAATTATTTTCCATCAAGAGCTGCTGAGTTGGGACAGAAAACTGCAAGTGTACTTAATATTTTAAACAATAACCCAACACTCCTGCTTTCTTTAACACTCCTTGTACTGCCTTAACATGGACAGTAGCCCGATATGAAATAGCATGGCACTTTCTTGTTTCTTTCCTAGATAATTTTAGTTGAGAAAGGAGCACTATTAAGAGGAAAATATGTATGTATTGCTGTGTTAAATTTCTCGGGGAGCTGCTGCTGCTGCGTGATATAAAATTACACTGGGGCTTGCAGAAAAAAGGTCCCGAGACACACAAGGTGGATTGGTACCCACAGCTGATGGTCCACCCACCCCTCTTGCCGAGTGCTGTCATGGAAGATTATGGATTACTTAATTTCAAGAGCCCCATAATGGGGGGAAAGTGTTTTTTTTAAACCAGGGTGTGCAGAGGGGTAAAATCAGGAGCAAAAGAAAAATAGAACAATGTGTTTCTCTTATTAGGCAACATAAATGTTTACACTGTATTCAGAAGAATAATTTCAATCTTAAAATCTGACAGTGAGTGGACATCTGGGGATTATAATTCATGTGATCTGAAAATCCAACTCTGGATTTCAATTTTGATATTTCGAGCAATTTTGGGGTTTAATATACTAAAAACTAATTTGAGGAAGAGCTTGTTCAGTTGGTTTGTGGCTGTATACAGTAGCTGAGCTCAAAGTAGCCTTTTAATTACACATTGCTTCAAAGATTAACTTTCCTAAATCTATTTTTATGAGGGCAGCAGTAATGGTGGTTGCATTTTTTATGATTCTGTGTCTCTCTTGCTGGTTACTTAAGATGTTTAGTTATCGCAAGAATTCCTATCAGTGACATTGGACTACTTTTTGTTTGATCACTTTCACTAAATTGAATGTCACCTCCAAATTTTTTGTTTGGAAATGCACATTTGCTATGTGAAAAACATGATATATGCAGAATTCCCCCTTCCCATATAATTTTTTTCCAAGTAGTAAGACCTCTTTCCTAGAGATCTGTGTGCTTTCTTTTTTTTTTCCAAACTGGTAACTAGTAATTTTGAGATTGTACCTTGACAGTTTGTTGCTGATCACTTAGTTATAAGTAGTATAATTATTATAGCAACTGGGTTCATAGACTGTAGCATTTTTGTACATCAAAAAAGTGAACACTTTAAAAATGTCTATTTGAAAAGTATTTTTCTATGAACACCAGAATGTTAATTCCAAAACCTCTCCGCCTTAGTAACAGTGAATTCTAATTATTTAACTTCTGCATACCAGATCAGATTTGAATTGGTAGAGTTGTTCACTGACTTTCCCTTATATTTTTCTGAAAGTGTAGGTTTGTTTCCTTTATGGTGAAACAGCACTCTTTTTTTCATTAAAAAAGCAAACATTAAAAATACTATTTATTGAAAAGATAAACCCCTTTCCCCCTTTTTATTCATTATCTATGCAGCTATAAATTGAATGCAGTGGATATATTTTAAGGTACCTTTTAAAATCATTTTCTTGAGCAGAAATATAAGCAGTTGAATTTCCCAAGCACCTTTTTTAATTTAGAAGGGACACTACAATAAATAGTTTTACATAGAAAGGCAAGTAGGGGAGAAGTTTGTGGTCTTACTCCCTCTGCTGGAGGAAAAAGTTTATGGCATACTCTGAGAAATTTAGCCATTGGTTTATTCCCATTTCCCTGTGGATAGGGACACAGACGTGCACAGAGACCACAACTGAGGCAAGGCAGGTGACAGGGTGCATTATTAGTGATGCGACTGTGGCTTCCGACAGACATTTGTGGGATTCTCCAAATAGTTAAAATTATCTTAATATTCCAAGTATTCCCATGCTCAACATAACTTTTTCCCATTTTTATGTACAATAATGTTTTGCGCAGCAAAAGAAAAGGCTTCATTGGCCCATCATTTTGGCTTCAGTTCCTTTATGATTAATTCTGACATTATGTCTCAATTTGTTTCATTTTGTCAAAAATAGAATGACCTTAAATAAAAATGCCCAGGGTATAACTTTAACCAGCATGTAGAAATTCTATAGAAAGGTTTTTCTGTTAGTTTTTTTTTTCTGTTAGTTGTCTAAGAATTGACCTGATTTAATTCTCCAGTTGTTGACAATAAAAATTATTTTTTAAACAGTTATTTAAATACATTGTTGTAATTTCTGTTTACTTTGCTCCAGCAATGTCTTATATATGTTACTAGATAATACTTTTTTCTAAAAATTAGTGTGACTATGTTTTACTGTAGTTTCTTCTGGTGAGCCTCTTTAGAAACAAAATTTTTTCCCCTTCTCTACAGATGAAGAATGACTGGGATCTGGTTTATCTTTGTGAATCCACCATTTCTTGGTGATATTTTGTTTATTTCAATTATTTTAAAATAATCTATATCTTCCAAATGCTTTACTTTTACATGTATGTAGAGGTTTACAGATTCATATATCCTCCATGGCAGGGAAAGTGTGTCACTTTCAGCATGAGGAACAAATTAAAAAGGGAACTAAAGCGCACAGAAGGGTGGGGAGGGTCTGGCCCCCTTCCAAGACCTCGTCTACTTGCTTCAAGTATTGGGCAGGATCCCCCCCAGACATCCCTGCTTTCTTATCCTCATTTCACCACTGCCTTAAAAGTGGACATTCCAGGTAGCTCTCCTGATGCAAACTAGGCTTAGGCCTGTCCTCAGTTAGGTGTGTGAAATGCTTCCCTTGTGCCTCAAGTATATTTCAGGTCCCAATTAGAACAAGGGTAGCCGCTGTTCTCCTTGATCTCTGCCACTCTGGTGGTACACAGAAGGGGATTGGTTCCCAAGCAGAATATTGCTCGCGTTCTGAAGAACGTACATTCTCAAACCTGGCTCCAGCCAAGCAGCTTTGCTCAATGCTGCATTGGAACTTTCCCCAGAATTCTTTGTACCGTAACAAGCCTTTTCACACAGACGGTCTCTTGAGGCTTGAAACAGGGATTTCCTTGGTTTCCTATGTGAGAGGTCCCTGCTTTTCTTTCTCAGCGCAAAGCTAAGAAATGAATCAACTGGTTCTACTAACTGGTAAAATAGTTAATCTTGGCCAGGAAGCTGCACTATTGTCATTCCTAATTGTTCAGTATGGTCCTAGAGATTTTAATCCAAATGAACATAATTTATTAATGGTGCAGATTTTTTAACACTCTTGTGGAAAAGGCTTGTTTCTGTCGTATACGTGTGTCATTCGTCTGAAATGGCCCAGGGTCTCCTGCTCAAGCAGGGTTTGGACTTTAAGACCTGCAAGGCCCTTTCTAACACTTCTGTTATTCTGATGCTCCTTGTGACCAGGAATATCTGGACGCCGAACAAGGTGACTCTTTGGACTAATCCAGTGTACAGTAGGCTTCTGTTCAGGATGGAAGCTTTACTATACTTCCCTTTGGCAAAGGGAAACTAAGCAGCATCCACTGGTTTGATTTCTGGCTGAATCACTTCTTGACACGCAGAATTGCAGTTTCCTATTTGGTATCTGAAGTGTCTGCTTTCCCACAAGCATCGCTGCCGGCTCCGCCTCAACCATCAAGCCCAACGCTGAGTCTCTGTCTCTCCCGTATATAATAAGGCATGCACGGTGGCCTCCAAAAATAACTTTCTTCTGCTTGACCAAGGATGCCCCGAGTGGGGAGACGAGTGAAGCAAAACATGCAGTACAGTTTTTTGTTCTGTTTTGCTGTGGAGTAATGTCCTGTAACTGGGAGGGATTGGGAAGGGAAAGAATTTCTGAAGAAAGGCAGAAAAAACAATACCTGTAACTGTCCAAAGGGCACCTTCCTTTCTAGGTTAGTGCATCTGAAAATAGCTTTGGAAGGATAAAAGGGACACGTCTCAAATAAACTCTGTTTGCTGCCTTGAGAGCCAGTTTGGTGTAGCAGTTGTCAGGCTAGAAACCAGGAGACCGTGAACTACAGTCCTGTCCTGAGCACAAAGACTTTGAGCCAGTCGCTTTCTCTCATCTAGGAAGGAGGCAAAGGCAAACTACTTCTAAAGAAACTTGCCAAGAAAACTGCAAGGACTTGCCCAGCCAGTCTCCAAGAATCAGACTGTGAACAATTTGTGGGGGGGGGGGGACGAGAGAGGTGAGCCTTCTTTTAAAAAACCCAAGGGAGAGCTTCTCTGCTCTGTTTGGCTTAGTATGCACCAGCCAACATCCCAAAGTTATTCTGACACCTTTCAGCTAGTTGTATGAGATCCCAGATCCCTTAATAGTAGCATTTGCTACTATTGTAGCATTTTTTTCTGTTTAGATAACAATTGAAGAAAAACATTATTTTAAGCGAGATCATTTTTCCTATGTTTGCTTATTTATTAAGCATCCTACATATTTAACTCCCAAGAGTTCTCAAGTTGGTAAACAAATGCACTATGTTAAATAGCAATGAAATTGTCCAAAGTTAAAAGAACCGAAGTCCATTTTGAAGGGATCTAAGTCACCTTAAGACAGTCTGGAACAAAGCCAGTTCAACATGTTTTTTCCTTACTAGGAGCAATAGTGATTTTTATCATGTGCTCAGAATTGGAAAAGGAAATGCGAATGTGGCTGAATATATCAAACAGTTCCTAAAGAGCTATGTTTATCTATTAGAAGCAAATCAAAAAATTTTCTCTCTTGATTAGGTAATGATTACTTGAAGCAGGAAGAGAAAGTGGGAATGATATTAAACAAGTAAGTGGTTTTATTTTCACAAAGATGTAGAGGACGTAAAGTGAGAGAAAGTACATTCAGACTTTGCAAGATTCTTTCACTACAACGGTTCCAATAAAAGTAGTTTTAGACCTCCATGGTACCGGTTTCCTGGTCTGGTCTACCTTATAAGGCTGACACAGGTACAGGTGAGCATATTTTTATTTGCATCTTTTCAAAATGAATCAAGATTTCTAAGAAAGGAATAAATCCTCTAGCTAGAAGAGTTTCCTTGTTTCTATTTACTTCTTTGGACCGCAAAGTGCAAATGAAGGCGGCTTGACAGGCAGTCCGCCAGCCCGCTTCAGCTTGGCATTCCTTTCCTCTATTTAATCCTCTTATATTATAAAAGCCCCCAGCCAGGGAGTGGTGACTTCATTACACCATCCCTGCTCAGGCATGCTGAAGACAGTGTTGGGCCTGGGTGTGGGGAGTGCCTGTTGGAGTCTCAGAGTGCTGGGGTACTAAAGTACGCATATTGCTGTTTCAAACGAACGTCCTCCAGAAATTTTGGAGGGTAGCATTCATCCGTCCCAATTCATATATTTACTGGCAATCAATAACTGGAACTGCAGTTTGCTGTTTCAAGTTGAAAAAGCTGCTATATAATACAGAGAATTAACTGAGAATTGTATTTCCACAGTTCAGAGACATTGACCTAAGTCAATTATCACAGACTTTGTGACAGGCTACCCTTTGCCCCTTCCAGCAAGACCTCCTTTTGTAATCATTAACCACATTCCCTAAGGCTGCTACTTGTTTTCTTGGAGAAGGAAACAAGAAGATTTTTGTCAAGATTGGAGCCATATTCCCAACCTAGTGCTCTTCAGATGTTTTGGATTACAACAGTCAATACCACAGCAAGCAGGTCCAAAGACCACAGCACCTAGGTTAAATTAGTGTTGTTGCCTAACAATTCTGGAATTAACAAAGGTTATAAAATAACTCATTTTTCAGCTTTCCCACTCTCTCAATATTGAGTTCTAAAAGAATTGGGATTTAGCATATCTAAAAGCGGCAATATTTACATATGACAACTCTCCCCCCCCCCACTTTCCACAAATATATTTTCTGCAGAAAAGTATATGGTCTTTATTGTTTCATATATGACAGCAACACCAGTTTGTATAAAAATGAGAAAAATGGACTTGATTTCTTTTTAATGTCCATTATCCATTTTTTGTTTTAATCACTCTAACTTGCTTTTGGCAGCAAAGCTGAAAATCTTGCTGCTCACAAATAAATCCCAGATCACGTTTAAAAAAGCACTAACTTCCACTCTAGATGGGGGTTACTCTCTATCGCAAATAATTTATGATTTCTGCCTTCAATTCTTCAACACTCTAGCTCTTTCCAAAATGATTGCCAAGTTTGCCCTTTGTTGAGAGGGAATTTTTTCTGGAAATTTAAACAGAGGACTCTGCCTATCCTTACATAAACCACACATTGATACTATTTACTTGTAAAAAGAACTAATGTGTGATTTTTATTTTTTTTTATGACAGGATTCTGCTCATTAGCCTGTCAACTGCAAATCCAGGTCTGTGGATCTGTGTTATGACCAAAGCAGCTTGGCAACAAGACACCAGCCTAGAGCAGCAAAGAGTGAGCGAGTGAGTGAGCGCTCTGTGAAAAGAGCAGCTACTGGGGAAGGGGAGCCCTTGCTGGCAGCCTCTTGCAGCACACAGCCATTGCCTGGGCGTCAGTTTCACCCGCCCTGCTTATTCCACAGGAGGAGGAAGGTGTCAGTTTCACAGAGGACTGGAGGATTGAATGGCCCTCCTGCGGCTGCTCACTTCCAAAGGGCTCATTGCAGCAAGGGGGGTGGGGAAGGGAGGCCTTCAAGGAAAAGCCAAAAGCCGCGCCTTGCAGCAGCAGCAGTAGCTAGAAGCCCTCCTACACACACAGCTGCTGGCCAGCTTTTTCCAGATGTCCTCTCCAAACAGCAGCAGCATTTTATTTTTCAGAAAGGAATCTGATTAGAATTTATCCATTTTCTCTGCTTCTGCCTCTCCAAGGAAGACTTCGGCACATGCAGAAGAGCTGCTTCAGTTTATCTTGCCTTGCAGGAAGGAGACTTGGAGGCACCTGATCACCAAGACCCCCATCCTACCACACACCCCCACCACCACCCCCAGTCCTAGCCTGCATTTCAGATTGCAGGCTAATCAGAAGGGGGGGGGGAAGGTAGGAGACAGTCTTCTTTCCCTCTTTCCTGTATTTCTCCCACTACACTCAAGAATACACTCACCCCTCTTTTTATGGGGCACACAAAGACACTACAATGCTATCTATGTCCAAGAACTCTTTTAAAATTAAACACCCTCTTCCGGATATGGGGGTAAGTAGTGAATCTGCCTGTTTTGATGTGTGAATGAAGGTTGAGTAACTTTTTTGCCAGTGATTTGGGGAAACTGGGGGAGGAAGAGGAAGATGG